AACTGCCTCCGCTTAGCATTTTTTCTTCTTTTCACTGGCAAAGAAAACTCTAAAGTCAAAAATCATTGTTGGTCTTACAGGTGCCTTTTGAAAACCCAAAGCTCACTATTTACTTAACCCTAAACTGAATAAGTAATAAAATAAATAAAATAGGCTTTTGTTTGCTTGTGTGTTCGTGTTTTTTTTTATTATTATTCTCAGGTTTGTTATAGTGTATTACTGCAACACATGATATAGTCATTATAGAGTGACATAAGTTAAGTGGCAAAATGTTAACAAGTGACTCTAAATGTACAAGCTCTACCTTTTCTCAAGAAGTCCATGTACATGAATTCAGTTTACTTAACAAACTCACTTAAGCACAGATTAATGAAGCATTCACTACTGTGTGTGTGTGTAATACAAGTGTAAATAGACAAATGGTTGGGATTTAATGTTTGGGTTGGACATGATGTTCAAATTTATTTTACAACCCCTACAAACAGAGAACACATGAGCCGTGCGTTGTTACACATACCCTCTGTTGCTGTTACCAATATAACGTTCAATGAATACTGTGACTGTAAAAAACACAACTCGTTTTGTTTTATCAACAAATCCTCACCCTTTAAAAAGGAATGTGTCTAAGTGAATGAGCTGACGCTTACAGTAACCACAGCTTTTCCTTGGTTTTCTTCCATTAACCACACGCTTGCATACATGTTAGGGGGCAGAGTCTACATTTGGAAAGGTACTTACAGTTAGGTGCACATGACTTGTGAGACACACAATATCACTACCAACTGTTTATAGATCAAACTTTCCATAGTGTGTCTGCAGTGACATGAAAACATGAGACAGATCACTCAGTGAAAATATACCAAAGGCAGTGACGTACAAGTTGTAACTTTTCATTTTGTATAGATATATTATAAAATATTCAATTTTATAATATAAGCTTCCACTGGAAGAAGGAGTGATTTACCATATTGTTATTAGATTTATTGTAAAAAGAATACGTTTTTGGACAATAGTCTATTCTTTTTTTAATCATTTTGCCTCTGTTCACCAGTGGATTTTAATAAATAGAACCGTTAAGATGTGGTTGAAGTACCAAAGTTTGAGCTGTAATGCAAGGGCTGTTACAGTAATATTGCATTAAGTGCATTAACACTAACTCTTCATAGACACTTCACTGTACTTATCAAAACTTCGGCACTTATGCACTCCATATTGTGCATAAATGCCATTTTGCACAATATTCATCTGCTGACTTCTGTATTTCTGTATTGTTCTGCTCATATACTTATTCCTATATTTCTCAAATTTCTTATTCTTATATTTTGTATTGTTTTTTAGGTTAGTTGTATGTTGCTTGTGAAGCTTGCACACAACAATTTCACTCACATGTACTGTACCAGTAATGTGACAATAAAAGTGATTTGATTTGAACTGTTCAGGTCTTACAGCTTTTTTTTTAAATTAGAGGCTCCAGAGTAGTTGGACAATTGACTGGCGAGCACTTTCATGGTCAGGCATAAGAGGGGTTAAAAAAAGCAAAATAAACAAAATTATAGAAAAAATAGGAGCGGTCAAATCAGAAACCTAGTTCATTCTTAATAAGAAGAAATGCCTTGTTTTCAGATTTGTTTTCCATAATTAATATAACCTAATCAAAACATCTAGCCAAGTCACATTCTTGAGGAGATATGCTCATCATGATAAGACTCTTCATTCAAGAGATGTCAGTATGCATGTAAATACAATTCATTCACAGTAAGGTGCAAACCACTTTTTACACTCAACTACATGGATTTTGTTGTTTTTAAGAAAACAACTTATACAAAAATGCAAAAAAGTTTTGGACAGATGACGACAAAAAATGACACATTATCTGTCAAACATGGTGAAATAATATTACAGCTTGATTGTTGAGTCCAACCTCCTCAAGAATGTTCTTGACTTGACATTGTGAATAGATTTTTATTATTTCAGGAAAAACTTCAGCAAATTCTGTGTGTTCCTTCCTTTTAAGAATGAGCTAGATTATTTGTCCATGCCTAAACTTTTTTTCTGTCACTCTGATGGGTTTATTTAGGTTTTTCAGCCTCCTTCATTTGCACCTAACAGTTAATGCCATACTTGTAAAAGCCCTTCAATTAAAGCTCAAAGTCTGCTCTTCAGTCACAGTCAGTTCATTGTAGTGGTGAAAGGAGGCAAAATTATTAAAATAGGTCTGACCTGAATTGTATTCCTTATTTTTTTGAGTTTATTATTAGAACTAATAATATACATATTGAGAGTCTACAGTTTGCTTGTTACTCCCTTTGCTTCATATTCACTGAATAATCTGTTTTATGTTTTTATGTCACTGCAGAAACACTTTAGACAGTTTGATCTATAAACATCTGGCATGGATGTTGTTTGTCTCACAACTCACATTTGAAAAATGTCAGCCTTCATGTGTTCAGAGATACCACAGACATGACTCCTGTGGCCTAAATGGCCACAGGCTGGGAGCAGATGTGACTGTGATATGACATCTACAAGCAGGAAGATTGTCCATATCAAATCACTATGTCTTGCAAAAATAAACAGCTTTTGGGATATGACTCAAACAGATTTTTACATCATAGAGGGACACGTGTATATTACAGTCTTACTCAAATTTTCTTCACTGGTTTTCTTGACAGATATGAGATTATGAAGCTAAAGCTAAGCTAAAAAAACCATGATAAGTGAAACATGAACAAGATTCTTCCAGATTTTTACTAGATGTGAGTTTCCATTTCACTGGTTGAATTGCTTTCATCACCCTCATCTCATAGTTTATTACTGTTCATCAGCTGTGTTCTTTCTCTGACTTTATACAGATAAAACTACATTTAAGCAAGAACACAGTTTTAGTTAAGGGCACCACAAACATGTTCATAAGAGTGTAATAAGTTAAGATATTGGATGGAGTTTTGATGCTGATGATGTTTTTAGTGTTTGTTTGTTTGTGCCATATGTACATGCTGTTACGCTTTGTTGCTTTTAGTGAAGTGGAATTAAATGCAGAACAAATAAAAAGACTAGAAACAGATATATTAGCAGTTCCATCGCAGCAAACACAGAAGATATCTATCCATCCATTATCCACGTACACGCTTCACGTTTTGGGCCACTGGGAGCAGACAGCTGTCCCATCATGCATTTGTTACACCCTGGACAAATAGCCACTCTCTGACACATTTTTAATTAAAAGCAAATCAAAACACGTATATCACTTAATACGAAAGTAAAAACAAACAACTGGAGCTATTAACCCCATTTTCTAATCCTCAGAACTTCCTTTACTCTGCATTTACACAACAGAAACCCACAGGTGGTATCATAACTACAGAAAAGACTATAGACTGGAATTTATAGTTGACAAGTACACACTGTTGTTGCTTCAACCTCACTGCTTTGCAACACAAAGTCTCTCCGTGTGTATGTGTGAGCACTCCAGTTTTCTCTTCTAAGGAAACCATAGCTCTCAGAAAACTTGAACACATAATCTTAATCACTGCACAACCAGTTTAAGATATGTCTATTCACCCTCCCACTTGAGACATTTTAATAACTATTTTATTTTAAGTTACTTAAGAGAAGGATTTTGACAATAGTTGGCTAAAGGACAATCAATGTTTGGTATAGTCTGAACTTCTGGACTGACGTACACGCTCCTCAAGTCCTGCCATCTCAGGTCAGTAGGTGATCTGACTGCCTATGTTTGGTGACAACCTCATCAAAAAAGACTGTGCAGGCTGAAGAAGCATGTGATGTGATTTGTAGTTTCATTTGTCTGCAGATTCTTGCAAAAAGTAAAGGAATATTTTAATTTTATTTCCAGCATTTCTGTGTTAGGAGTTTGCATTTTTCCTGTCCCTATATCATTTATCAGTTATGCTTTCCTCCCACAGTTTAAAGACATTCTTATTATGCTCAATTCCATTTTACCATCAGTTTTGGTCAAACATCCTACCAGCAGGTTTGAAACCTGGGGTAGTTAAGCCAACTAGTGTTTCTCAGGATGAGAATTAATTCATGAGCTATGACCTGAAATGAAGTTCAGCTTATTAATAACATTAAACGAACAATTTGTTGAACTTGTTTGTAATTTGTGATACTAAACTGTTTTGTGATGCATTTGAAAGGGCCTCACCCACAGTCTTTGTTACACTCACGTTCAAGAGGCCATTCTGGTGCTGCTCAGTTTCCCTGCTAACCGTCTCCAAGACTGTGACACAGCACACAGAAAAGCCCACACAGAGAAGCAGTCATGTAAGAAGAAACAATGATTCAAGTGTTGCAGTAGCAGTAGTCTATTCCCACTCTTGAAATTTGTGCTAAATGCTACCTGCATTTTTGACAGCCTTTGTCTTCTATTGTGGATTAGTTCTAGACTCACTGGTGAAACAAAGACACACAGCCCACCAATAATTTGGGACATTTCATAAATTTGATGGCCTTCTTTTTAAGAAACTGCAACTTCATGATTACTTTAACTGTGAAAGGTCTTTAAGGAAGAGAAATGTTATGTCTTAATCAGCAACTGGTGTCTGCTTAAATTTGTTTATGATATTCTCCTGTATTATCACTGTAATTCATGTTATTGAATATGTTATTGAATGTTTAGGCATAATTAGTGCCATAACTAGGGGCTGGAGAGTATCCAACCACATAATGGGTAGGGTACGCCCTCCAGAAGTTATCAGTCTATTACTGGAGGAACACATCCTATTATTATTTACTTTTTTACACCGTCACTTAGATACACATAGATAACTAGACTATTGTCTAGTTATCTATTTGGTTCAGAACTGAACCAATGGGACAGGTTATCATGGAATTGAATGGACTTGGATGGATCTGGAAGTTTTAATAAGGTGTTTAAATCAACCTCTCAGAGATCATGTTAAAGGTATATCTGTATGATACAATGGATTATTTCTGAACAGTAATGTGAATTACAGCAAAAAACAAGTCTCACAACGTACAAATAGCACATGAATTTTGTTTTTAATTAAGAAACACCAAGGGCAAGAAGAGCATCTTTCAACATTGGAAATTAAACAGTCAAGTCATTTTGACATAGACATTTTTCAGCTGGTACACTTTCATTCATTTATCTGATACAGTAAGAATTTGCTTTTGTCTGCCGCTCAGAAGTGAAGGAGTAAAATGATCAATGAAAAAATAAAAATAAAAACAGCAAGTTAAAATCCAAAACCAAAAGTGCACCTTTCTTTATTTGTAGTGGAGTAAAATAAACCAAAAGCAGCTATCAGTTTCTCACTAACCGCATTTGGTGACAGTGTACAGTGTATGTGTGAAAATCCAGTTTAAGAGCAGATACACATAAGGCACCCACCAAGGGGCACACACACCATCATTATCTGCTTTAATGTCCTAACCTGGACCACAGCGTTAGCTTTCTTCATCCCGCTTGTTCATGATGACATCATTCTGTGCACTCATACATTTGGAGCCTAAGACTTTTTTCAATTAGTGAATAATAAGACCACTTTTCATCCATTTGACCAGGAAGCTCCAGTCAAATATCACATGTTAACCTTTAATGGAACCTTGTTGGGGTCATTTTTGAAGAATTTTCCAGGTGGGCCCTATTGAAATCGAACATCAGGAGAAAATCAACAGGGTGTGGGAGGCAATACACAATAACCAAAGAAAAGAAAGTAGCAAGCTTCTGTAATTGTTCTAAAACAGTAGAATCGAGCCTAGAAAGCAATAAAAAAGCAGGAAAAAAAGAAAAACACAAAATAAATTAAAACGGTGCAACTCTATGTGAAAGGATGCTGCTCATTTTAGGATATTAATACAAATATTTTAAGCTTACAAAAAAAACAAGAAAAGGGTTTGTGAATCCCAAAGTGATTGTGCCATTGTGCGGTGTGGTCAACTAAAGGCTTGCGAGCATGCTTTATTTTATTAGAGCTACACTATTGATCACAGCACCTGCAGGAGGCTTCCACTGCATTCACACATGGCCAAACACTAATCCAACTATGTGCTGCAGATGAATCTCTCTTTGGAGAGAAAACATCCCATAGAACCACAGAGCCTTCAGAGTTTCATAGCTTAGTGAGGTGTCTCTAAAGCTACCAAACCTGTGTAAAACCTTGAGGCAGTTCTGCATTGATCCTCCTGAGGATATGGATAATGACACATGCACACACACACAAACCCAAATGCACACATCTGACCCTTACTGCGGCTGAATGTGGAGTGTTCTGTGAAAAAACGGAAAGGTCTAAAACATACATAACAAACAAATTTACTTCACATATACACTCATTCTTAGTTGACACAGATATCTACCTGACTGGCAGATAGTTTAACACATAAAACAATATCTTCAATAACCATACATAAAAAATGACACATTTTCAGTTCACTTAAACTCCTTTTTTGAGATCTACTCAATCAAATAAGGCTGTTGAGGCAACAAACAATGCCATACCGCCATTAAATCAATCCAAAAATGCCATGCACATCAACAAAAGTAATGACTGTATGCTGATCTATGCCAAATTACTAAATAAAACCTCTACATGTGACATATTAACTATTTGACTATGTGCTGTATTTTAATGTTTCACCTTAGCACCAAGATTTCTTTCTTTAAAAATAAAAAAATATATAGACAGAAGACAAAAAGCACTGCAAATTACTAGTGAATCAACAATAAGCCAAGCTGAAGCAGCGGTACTTATATCCTTAGCTTTTAATCCTTTGTATTTGACGTCCTGAGTTGTGTGCTGAAGCTGCAAGTGACTGTGACCATGTGCACTCCTCTCCCAACGGTTCAGGAAAGACTGTAAGCATGCTCGCAATGAAAAGGTTCCTCTACAGAAGTGAAGAAAGAAGGCCTAAAAGTCTTCAGGTATTAATACAGTTAGGCCTTTAAAAAGCCCAGGACACAGAGTACTAGAACCCAGAAACAATTCTAGGAAAGATGAAGAGCAGTTATGGTTAGTTTGCATGTTTCCCCCCACAAATATAATATATATAATCATATGTATATAAATAAAAATTCAGTGCTGTAAAAACATCTCCACCTCCTTAGGATCTGACCCATCGTAGAAGGCCTAATATGTTTTACTTTTCTCATGGCTAATTCTACTGCTGGAAGTATGTAAACTGTACTGGTTTTCCTGTGTTAATAGTCCTTCATCAAGAATACAACACCGAGGAAGAGAAGACGTGTTAATATTGTCTGAATTTTTCTGTCTTTTTTTGGTTTTACTGCACACAGATAAATGCATCTTGTTGTGTAATCTTTTTTTTTGGTAGCAGCAAAGCACCAAATATGTGTCAGGCTCTATTTGTGTAAGTCTTTTTGTGTAGGTTTGCTGTGTGTGTGTGTGTGTGTGTGTGTGTATGATGTTTCTCCAAAGTCTCTATGTGTGTTTGTGTACGTGTGTGCAGCAGTCTACGAAGAGCATGGCTGCACGTTGATGCCATGGGCCGCGTGGGCTTGCAGGTCAATGGCCTGGGCTGGCTGCTGTCCTGGCCGAGCATTCATCAGTGCCAGGTTCCTCACACAGCCCTTCATTCCTGATGAAAACTTCCCTCCTGTCATGGCAGTCATACCCGGGGCTCCACCTGTTGCATGGAATCACACCCACATAGGTAACTTTATTGATTTGCAAAAATTGAAGAAAAGCATGTCTGAAACTGACATACTGGAATAAAGCTAGATGATTGATAAACACAGTGAGAAACTAATTCCATTGTAACCAAGAAAAATTAAAAGGTAACGATAATGCTATGAAGGTTAAAGAATTGTGTGAAAATTGTTTGCATGCCAGGAAAAATATGTGAACTACTTTGACACAATAATGCCTCTGAAAAGCTCCATTTTTTTCAGGGAAACTAAGTAGCCAGAAAATCCTCTGACTTGTGTTACAACTCATTATTTATCTGACTGTCTTTGAACAATGACAGCTGGGATAAGTGCCAGCCCCCGTGTGACTGTGCACTGGACAAGCGGTTAAGAAAATGGAAGAATGGATTATTATTTATTATTAATTCATTACTATTCATGTATTATTTAACTTATATTTGTGAATGGATGTATTCAATTGTGCAGTATTTTAGTCCTGTTTTTTCAAATAATCCATCTATATTTTGTCACTTTGTGGACTCAATCCTGTCATTCTACGCACCAAGATATATACTGCCTTTGGTGTTGACCATGAGGCTTTTGCCTTTAGATTGTCCATGTAGCTTGGCTCCTCCATCAACCTGGATATAGCCATCTTTTCCAGTTCTGTGAGAAAAGAGCCACACAACACAAGTTAATTCAAGAAGTTATGGAACTCCACAGGTTAATAATCAACCTTTTCAACAACAGATAATCTGACAAGTTACAGAAGTTACAAATTTGATATAAATAATAGATGTATTCTACTGAGACAGAAAATTAAGTAGCTATTGATGAAAGAAGACAACCACAACTCATAGTGCTTTATTTTATTAAATACATCTAGAATGTAAAAGCAAATGACTGCAGGATAATGATATGCAATCATACCTGACTGCTGTGATCTTATGCCATCTGCCGTCATTGATTGACCTGTCGGAAAAGATTTGTGCCTCTCCACTTCCCAGTTGGTAACTAGATAATACAAATCATGACCATAATTATGAGTTGTAAACATTTTTTCCTAATCTGCATGTCAGAAGATTTAGAGAATTTCAGAACAGACCTACCTGAAAACAAGGTGTCCATTCTGTAGGCCGAGGCTAATAAAGTCCTTGCGTTTGCCATGTTCTCCAGGTTCCTGAAATTAAATATGTTAGGTCACAACAAGGTCACAGCTTGTTGTGTGACTATGTATGAATTGCTGAACACGGACCAGCTGACCTGTGGTCATATTGCAGAACAAGCGCTATAACAGCAAACATGAACCAGTGTAGTGAGATCATTCCTGGCAGTGACACAAAATGTTCCATGCAAACTAACAATGTCAAAAGAGGACTGATGATATAGTACCTTACAAACAAAGATAAAATTCATTTGGCACACATGGGAAAAAAAAAAGTGGATACCTTTTTAATAGCATGCACCTTTCGCAAAATGCGTGCACCATTGGTCTCCTGAGGAAAATTGAGGGGGTGAGTTAGAGAAGCAACATGCATTTATTTAGTGGTGTCAGAGGGTGCCAGGCTTACAGTCAGCATGCCTGAAAATGACATAGCTTCAGCAGAAGATGTATGAATTTGATAGTGTAATGATGAAAGACGTAGTAATGCATCAGTTATGTATTACCGACCGCACTGAAGTCTATAAATGACATGAAATGCTATGAAAATGGCAGCAATTTTTTTCTTTTTTTTTTACAGTCACAGTGATGATTAAGAGTGCTCGAGTGCAGTAGCAAAGTTAGGTTGGGAATGAAAACATGGAGGAGAAATATGAGTATAAGGCTTAGAACTAGGCAGAACCAGGACTCACCACTCCCTGCCATAGGATCAGGCCGTCAGAGGAGCTGGTGTTGATCTCCATTTCAATTGTTTCTGGTGAATCGTGGGCACTTAAACAGTAAAAAACAACAGCACCACAATAATAATTTCACTTCATCATTATATTAATTCATATAAATTCACTAAATGTGAAAACAAATTATTTACCTTCTTGGGAAAATGGATTTAGGAAGTGCAATGTATCCATTATTGTTGAAATGAGCTGCATACTGATAGGGTGAATCTGCAATAAATACAATAAAATAAGCATAAAAACAGATTCAAGTCACAGTAAAGCTGTTTCACCTTCACTTGAACTTATGGTGCCCTCTAGTGGTAAAAGTACAGAGAATTCCTGGTAAAACAGACTTGATTAGATGCAACATTTCTAGACAATTTCTACAGTCCCATTCTTCGACAGAAAAAAACACTATGTAACCATAGTGTAACCATAGTGTAACCACAGGCTTTTTTTTAAAAAAACTGTCTTATTTGTCTGGTAGATACAGCAGCTACTCAACAATGAGACAAACCCAAAAACAGGGAATTTCTTTTCTCACGGACATTTTTTGCCTCTTGATTTAATTTTTTTTTTTTTAGTTTTCATTTAGCGCGATACCTCGACTGTACAGATGTTGCACATGTAGCCCCACTCATCTAGGATGGCACAGTACATGTCATTGCTAGATTTGTTGCATCTCCAAACACAGTCTCATGAGCATGCAGGAGACTTTAGGAGACATACAGTTATTCTAGGAGAGCTTGACAGTGCCGTAGAAAGTCCCTAAATCATCACCAGGACTGGTATCTGCTCCTTTGTGTAGGAACAGGCTGAGCACTGCCAGAGTGCCCTAAAATGACCTCCAGCAGGACACCGATGTGAATCAAACAATGAGAAACAGACTTTATGAGGATGGTCTGAGTGCCCGACATCCACTTTTGGGACCACTGCCCGATTGGCATTTGCCAAAGAATACAAGAATTGGCAGGTCCATCACCGGCGCCCTATGCTTTTCACAGATGAGAGCAGGTTCACCCGGTGCACAGTGATGGTCTTGGGCGGCATATCCATGGAGGGATGCTCTACAGCAGGGGTGTCAAACTCAAATACACAGTGGGCCAAAATTCAAAACTGGAACAAAGTCGCGGGCTAACATTAATATTTATTGAAAAAAAAATCTTCCTCCAGATATAAGAATGAATCTTTTCTTATGGACTCAAATAAGTTTTGCTGGAAAACTGAATATGGAACAAGCAAAGCTTAATACTAAACAATATATATATTAGCTGTATAATACCAGTAGGCCAGCTCTAATAGTAATTTGGTATGGCTTCGCGGGCCAAATGTAATTAGGCTGCGGGCCAAATTTGGCCCACGGGCCAGAGTTTGACACCTATGACTTATGGCAAAGTTAGTCTCAATGTTATTCTTTATTTTTTCTCAGTGTCTTCTTGAGGGACAGTATGTGTATATGTGTACGTGATATTTGATGAATGTTTAAGTGCAGCATCAAAGAGTTGATTTGTAGTGTGTCACATCAGTGTGGTGGCAGCTGTCCTGGCAGCCCTTTTTGGAATTCCTTAAGATACTATGATTCATATCAGTATGTCACACATAAACACATTGTATTGAATGACACAAAAACAGAATCTTATGAGAATTATAAGATTCTGCTAACATTCTGTTCACATTTGATAACCTGCTTAGTGATGTGAAATCATCATCAATGTGTGTGGGCAAAACAGAAGCAACTTTGGATTTCTAACTACAAATCCATTCTCTCTTGTTTCTTTTTGTCTTTATCCCACTCTAAAAGTTGGATGTAACAGTGAGACCAAATTCACAACCCAATAGAAACAGATCCAGGTACATTTACAGCAATATTCAAACTGAATACAGGCTGCTGGCCATTGACATGTAGTATACTTGAAGTCACCTGGAACTGTAGCTGTTCTGTAAACAAATAATGAAGCACAGTTTGACCAGAATAAGAACTAGAATCTTTAACACACTAAGATAATAAAATACACAAGCTATTTGGCTGGTAACTGGCAATAAGCCAGAGGACTAATGGCCCAGAAGGCCCAAACGAAACTAGTAATGTCCAGACATCTAGCCTATATTACTTAATATTCATTAACCTATTTAAAAAGCACTTTTGCTCTGTTTCAGGTAAAGTGTAAATCTGCACCTCTGATTTGTGTGATTACATTTTCTCTTTGTCTTTTTCTGCTGCAGCAGCCAAAGTCTGATTTATTAATGACAAACCAGTGGTAGAAGCATCATAACATCAAGAAAACTGGACAGTTAAAGGATTTTTCTTTTTACATAAAAAAGAAAAAAAATGTTTGATGATCTGAAATGTTTAAGTGTGACAAACATACAAATAAATAGGAAAACGCTTTTTCACACCATAGGTCAACTTTTCTGAAAATCAGAGGAGTTTCACATTTATAACACAGGTATGTCTACCAGGAGGCTGAAGGGTATATATATTTATAAACAATCAAAAACAACAATTTAGTTCCAATTTGTATGGAATTTATTTCTGTAAACATGGTGCTTTAGGTCGGATTAAAGGACTGATGTGATGGTAAGGTGTCCGCTGCTCTGCTTTGAATATTGGTAGGCTTTTTTTTTTTTTTTTTTTTCACAAGAATTGCTAGTTCCCCCAGAGTTTTGGCCACCCCAGCAATCAGAAGATTCCCTATGAGCAAGCATTTAGTGACAGTGGGAAGGAAAAACTCCCTTTAAAAAGGGAGAAACCTTCGACAGAACCAGGCTCAGGAAGGGACAGTCATCTGCCGCGACTGGTTGGGGTGGGGGGAGTGAAAATTAAAAAAAAAAAAAGCCAAAGTGATAATTATTGGAGCAGCTTAATTAATATTTCCAGTGTAATTTGCTGTTAATATCCTTTTCCAACCCCAGTTTGTGTTTTTATCACTTTTGTCCAGGGTGGAAGATGCCATGCTGGAGATTGACTCTGTATGGTTTTTCAGTGTTGATACTTGGGAACCTGTTGGAGAGGCCAGGGTTGAAAAAGGGATGCCGGAGAACCTGAGAGGGTGTTATCCGCTGGTGTGCATCCAAGGCCAACATCTCTTTAATTAGGCTGACAAATAAGCGTTGGCCATCTTCTGGTCCTCGTCTAAACATCATTATTTGTTCGAGGTCATCCAGACGTGTCAGTTTTATGTATCTTGTCTCCAAAGATTCATATCCTGTCTCGTATTTAAATTGTTGGGCGGTCTTAAATGTCCAGCGCTGTTGGTTGTAGTTGTAGTTGTCTTTTGTGAAATAGTCTTCAGTGTACACGCCAGGATCGAGAACATGATCTGGTGGCTGACCCTGAGTCTCTATGATGAATTTCAAAACATCATAATATTTTTTTCCAGGGTAGAGTGGCACCCCTGTAACAAGCTCACAGCCACCAGCCCCAGAGACCACATGTCACATGCTTCGTTATAAGGAAGGCCAAGCATAACCTCAGGTGCACTATAACCAACCGTCCCCACACGGTCACCAGGCATCACTGCAGACGCAGGACATGCGAGGCCAAAGTCTATAAGTCTGACTTTGACTGGAGACTCATAGCGATTTACAACCATGATGTTTCCAGGTTTGAGGTCAGCGTGCACTATTCCCAAAGAACCCAGGTGGGACAGAGCATTTGTGAGTTGACCTAAAATTGGCCTGACTTCGCTTATGGGGAGACCCTGTTTATTCCGGTCCCCTATGTAGTCCCACAGGCATTGATCAAGGAGTTCAAATTTCAGGCAAACCCGCTGTCCGTCGTGGAAAAAGCCGTTCCATTGAACAATGTTGGCGGCATCTGGATCCAACCTTCGCAGCTGCTCCAAGATGAAAATTTCCAATTTCGCCTGTTGCAGAATATCAGGGCGGCTCTTGTTCACTTTAATAGCCACAGCTCGGTTAGTCATGGTATCACGACATTTGGCTACAATACCAAAGCCCCCTTCTCCGAGGAAAGCCTCTACCTTGTAGTGCTTTCCCAAAATGCTCCCTTTAACTATTCCAAGCTCATTTGAGCGGAAGGATGGGTTAGCTGACATGGTGAAATGTGTCGGCTTGGTCAGTGAATTGCTAAATAACGCGAAATTCTCTCAAAACTCTCCAAAAGGGTTTGCTTACTGTCAGGTCAAGGTCCGTTGAGCAGCAAAGTTTAAGTGAGCAAAGCTCCTACTACTTAAGGGTTTTTTCTCTCAGCAAGATGATGACATCACAAGGAATCAAAGGCATTCTACTTTGGATCAAAGGCATTCTATTTTTGATTAATGGCATTCTATTTTTTCAGTTGAAACACTGAAAAAAAATAGTGTTTCAACAGGGCATGCTGGCGCCCTGTGGGAGGCAGAGGTGATAGGGTAAGGATGCAGGGGATAAGAAAAGATCTTATCTGTCAGCTCATCAGCGAGCGCTGCTCGCAGAATCACAGGTGGAGCTTGGCAGGGGATGGAGAGTGAAGACAAAATCAACAATGACTTATGGCAGGGGTGTCAAACTCAAATACACAGTGGGCCAAAGTTCAAAACTGGAACAAAGTCGCGGGCTAACATTAATATTTATTGAAAAAAAAATCTTCCTCCAGATATAAGAATGAATCTTTTCTTATGGACTCAAATAAGTTTTGCTGGAAAACTGAAGCTTAATACTAAACAATATATATATTAGCTGTATAATACCAATAGGCCAGCTCTAATAGTAATTTGGTATGGCTTCGCGGGCCAGAGTTTGACACCTATGCTCTACAGGCTATGCAACAGAACTATGACTTTCTAAAAGTCACACTTTAACACACCTATGCAATGAAATGCCACTGCTTAAATTTCATTATGTTCTCAAAGATGAGAAGATAATGATGCATATGCAAATACTGCTTTTTTAAAGTGTAGAACATCAAAACTTCAAGATGCAGACTTGTGTCAACACTGGCCATCACATGAGTCAATAATGATCGTTTCTTGCTCTTACGGACAAAAATCTTCACAGCCATGGCACCATGCACATTTGCCACTGAGTACATAATATGCTTGAAATACATTCTGACTGAACCAAACAATGATCACATTGTACTTTCAGCAGACACTTTAAGTTGTTAGTGAGACCACAAATATTCTGACATGGAGCAGACTCAATGACCTGACTTAGTTTCAAAGAGGAAACAAGTGTTTTGCTTTAGGTTTTTTTTTTTTTGTGGTTGTACAAACAGGCAGGTTTTTAGTTTACAGAAACAAGATTGTATTTGTAAGTATCCATCTTACAGGCACAGGCATAATGAGAGTGAAAGAGGAAAAGAAAAACAAGGGGAATTCCACATTTCTATCACTTCCAGAATGAAAATGGTGCAACTCCAATGCAGAGTGCATATATTAGTTTAGCTCCCAAATGCAGGCTACCACCCTATTACCCCTTATTTTAAATGCAGAATTCCCCTCTCCCAACTTTCAATGGGAATGAGAGCCTCAGTTGTTGGTGAGAATAAAGACGTTTGGATTGTGTTTTTGTGGGCATGTATGTTAGGTAAAAGACATTTCAGGTGGAGCTTTGAAGGGACATGGGGCCCCTCAAACTCAGACAGGGCCCTGTTAGTCACGGTCGCGTCAGGCAGACTGAATATTTAGATACTGTACCATTCGCCTCGCTAGACTCCAAATTCCTCAGGGCCTCTGGGAAGCTGACGACCTGGCCTGTGTGTGCAGGATATAGCGGTGAGAGTGCAGGAGTAAGACACGTGTAATCATTTAGGGTTAACCCTCCCAGCACTGCATGCTGGGAGCAAACTGTTTGATGTATAATGGGCTTTATTTTTTGGAAAATTTGAATCACATGTGCTGTATGTTTGTGACTGTGTGTGCAACCATTTTTGCTTTGATGATGTGTGGCTTTGTCTAAAGGATATACATTTGTGTACTAAGCAGTGTAACGTGAGAAGATATGAGTCGCTTTTTGCTCCTGGTTTAGACTGGTTTAATGACAACATGCAGTATTTCACCTGATAATACTTCCTCACAGTTGAGACCTGTGTACCCAGGTGTACACACACACTGGCTGTTGATGCAGATGCCTCCATTCTGGCAATGAAGATTGCTATGGCACGCGTCCTTCGCTATCTCGCACCGTTCACCTGCAGGGTCACATATCAATCATGAGTCAAGAAAGGTCACAGGTGAAACAGGTTACTTCTTCAAAAAAGTAACTGAGTTTTGCAAACAAAGTTTTTTGCAGCTCTTTCCCTAAAAATGCAGCCAAGGCATTTTTTTAAATAAACATTTCAAACTATTTACAGAACAATCAGGTGTTCTGCATCAAATTTGATGGCACACAAATCATTTGTGCCACTCCAAAAAAAGATTTCTGTCCACTATGAGATAAAGGGGAACATCACAAGCCTGATACCTGCAGGCCTGACAACAGGAGATGTATCACTCCTGTAACACCTGTAACATTTAGCAGTCGCCTCATTGTTCTGACACACACAACAAAACTATTGACTACACTACACACTAACTACACAAGATTTGCGCTAAACGTCGCAAATCTCTCACATCTCAAAACACCACCGCAACTCCTAAAACTTCTCTCTCCCTAAACAACTAAATGCCATGTTGTCATATCATTTTTTGATTGGTCCACATAGTACATTTTTCCACCAATAGGAAAGGCTGGGGGGGGGTTTGCTCACAGGCGGAGAGCGCTTTCAAGCGTTCTCCTTATAAAACGCCATTTTTACCGTTTCTTCCCGCAGTAAATATAAATAACGATAGTATTCAGGAAATAAACAAACACGGCATATATTTTTTATCATAACTATGGTTTTACGTGGCCTATCAACACAATTGAAAAACTGTTATAGTTTTTCCAATTGTGCTATAGTCCACACTTTCACATCTCCAATGGTTGTACACGTCATTAACGTGGCTTCACTCCACATCAGCCACGCTTTGCTAGCTAAAATACCGGTGTCGGCACATAAGGATGCTGTCATAGCCTGCCAACGACGTTGATTAGTTGCGTATATACGAATGTGAATCGCATTATTGGCTGGACTATGGGATAAGGTGACATTGTTCTAATCCCATACTGGAGCTATTATTTTAATTTCAATTCAGGTTAGATTTCTTTTTGTGCGCAACACAGCTTAGAGGGAACATTGCATGTGACATTTGCTATGTCTTTTTTTAAGCACTCACCTTCAAATCCATCCTTACAGAGGCACTGGTACTCATACTCAGCACTAGACATGCAGTGACCACCATTCAGACAGGGCCGCCGGTCACATGGGCTTCTGTCCACACATTTACTGATAGATCTGCTCTCTGTGAAGCTGTAGGACAAATCCACCTTCTTGTTGTTGATGGAAACCTAAGCATGTAATACAAACTAATTCAAGCTTCCACATGTTCAAATATATTGTGTAACCGCAGCTCATTTTTAGTACACAGAGATCTCACCTCTCCTATGCAGCCCTTAAACATGTCGCTGACATTAGCAGGCTTAGGCAGGATGTCCATGTTGGACACTCCTCCTATGTACATGAGGGTGTGGATATTGAGGCCCTGGGCTTTGCCCGGAGATGTCTTTCTCTCCACTGGACCTTGGTCGACCCTCAGGTGGCCATCCCTCTTGTTCCGCTCAGCCACAACTCTGTGCCACTGCCCCAGAGAGACTGGCTCAGGACTGACAAGTATCGCCTGGCCTGAAAGACAAATACAAAAACTATTAAGTTTAATTTTATACTAATTACAATAAGAAAAGAGTGCCACTTTTATTGATTTAAAATTTCTATAACTTTTATATATCATGGAGTGATATTTACAATCAATATCTATATATTATAGCTACTTTTATAAACTTTTAATCAACTGTAAAACAGTTTCAGTTTAAGTGTTGTTTTCAAGAAATTGCATGCTCAAAATTTTTTTGTTCTCACTCCCATTTCTTCTTGTTGCACATTGAAGCTCTACTTGGAACCTTGTGAAGATCCAACCATGCAAAATACGATTTTTTTGCCATTTTTCAAGTAGACTTAAACTTTTAATCGGGACTGTATCACTACCTAAATTGTACAGTTGCTTATTTTGAAATAAAAAATAAATATGATTTCTCTTTACCTGTGCCCAGTTCATATCTAAACTCTACATGTCCCTTCACCATGGAAATGGCGACGAAATCCTCCACCTTCATTTTTTTCCCACCACAGAAGAAGATCAGGCCATCTCTCTGCACTGGCTTGAACTCCAGCTCAACACGCAGGTCATCATGGATGTTGGTCAGAGGAGGATAGGCGATGTATGACTCCTCCCCATCAAACAGTGGCGTGGTAACCAGTTCCCCTAGGAGGAAATTAATTTAAAAAAATAAAACTTAATTTCTTATAGCAGTGTTATAAATAATTATATCTGCATATCACTATGTACCTTACATTTTCATCATGACCATTGTAAAAATATGTCATAACAGCTAGATTTGTCTGTTTTTATAAAAGACAAAGGTATATTTCAACTTACCATCCATGCATTTATCCCCAAATTTGCCAAGATGGCAGCGGCAATCGTAGCCAAGGCCATTCAGGCGGTTGATGCAAGTAGCATCTGGTCCACAGGCCTCTGAAAAAGGTGTGAAAAATGATGAGTGCAACACTTTTATTCGTTTATAATAATTTCATTAGGAATATTCAGATACTTTGATTCAAATGTGGGGTCAATTAGTGATTCACACCTACCCGAGTGACAGTGGAGAGAAGAGTGGTGCTGACAGTTGCTGCCTGTAAATCCTCTGGGACAGCTGCACTTATACAAACTAGCCTCTGAATCCTCACACATCCCTCCATTCTAATTCAGGATATTACAATTTGTTTTACTAGTTATAATAAAATAAAACAGCAAACAAAGAAAGATATGGATAGATTTAACTGACCTGACATGGTTTATCTTCACAGGTAGGACAGTTTGTCACACCAGTAGAGCTGCGGTCAAGGTCTTTAAAGATGATTTCCTCACCCTGGATGAATAGCTGACGAATACAGCCTGCATGGTACCAACACTCAGTAAGGGCAAATCATCACACATATATACAGAACCTTTCCCCACAATGTAGTTCTGTTATTTAGTAAAGCATGGGATATCTTACCCACAAAACCAGTCTTAATTCCAGCAGTTTTGGTGAGGAGTGTGTAGTTGGGATAACCACCCACATAAAGCTCCTCATTGAGATCCAGACCCTGGAACTTGCCCTTATTAACAGAAAAAAGACCACATTAACTTGCATTAAAAATGAAGTGCAAATAGCGGATCAGCTGTCTTGCTTTTACACTGAAACGACAGTACCTGTGAGCTGCCATTGATGGGCTCTCCTCCATCTACAATAATATATCCTTGGGTGAGGTTGCGATGCAGCTCAACTGTGTGAAACTCTCCCAGTTTAATAGGGTGCGGGTCACGTATGGTGGCCATGCCAGAGCCCACATCAAACCTAAGATGACAGAGATTTTAAAAATCCATACATCTTCTTAAGGTCACCTGTCCATTTTTAAATTATAGCAATAGTATATATGATAACAAATGTAAATTGATTTCAACTGACCGGAATTCCAAGCGGCCACCCACAAGCCCCAGAGAGATAAAGTCAGCTCCTGTAGTCCTTCTCTGGCCATTGTAGAGAATCATACCTGCACAGCAAGAAGACACAACACTATTACAAAGTTGATTCTAGATAATTTTCCCCACATCTTAATCCTTATCCATCTTAATAAGTCAAAAAAATCTACTAGATTTATTTAAACACATGATGTTATTTCAAGAATATCCTTGTCTCAGTGGTGCATAATTTCTCTTTTTCAGCTGTGCCTTCATTTAATGGCACTGCTTTCAGAGTATTTACACGATATGTAAGTGACTTGTTAGGATGGATATTGGTTGCAGTATCATTCACACAGGAAGTGAAAGAATCAATCCAGTGAAAGCTGGATGGTAAAGCAGCATGCTAGGGCGACACGAGTATAAAGCCAACCAAAGCCATGTTACAAACGGTCCTCCTATCGCTAGGCTGCAAAATGGAACCAGTCATATCATAATAGCAGATTCTTCTCTTTTCTTTCTCTACATGCTGAAAATATAAATGCTTATATGAGGCTCATGGGGAAATGGGAACATGCAATCTTGCATGTCTACCTTTATCTTTACCGAAAATGGATGATCAACATGTTAAAAAAAATAAGGATACTGTAAAACATGTAATTAATTATTATTCATTTGTCATTAATCTGAGGCTGCACTTACATAGTTTAAAGATCTTGTAAAGACCTGATCATTTTTATTAATTCCTGTTATGTAAAAACTTTACCATATTTGATCCTCTAAATATATGAAAGCAAAATATTTTAATAGCATGGTCAAATTGCTCTTGCAGTTTATTTCGTTTTGGGGTTTTTTTTGCTTTGTTTTTTGCTACAATTTGCTACCTGATGGGTGGAGCAAAAATCTGTAATGTCACATATAAGTTGCAAAAGATAAAACTGGCAATGATGAAAATTAGAGCCAGATAGATTTCCATCAATGCTGAATTATTTCATGCTCTATTCATTCAAAAGAGAGAGTATAACTACTGTACTTGCAAAAGCAGCTTGACTTTAGCTTCAAATGTGCATTTGTAATATTGTTCTTCCTTATACATACAATCATTTGAAGCACAGCTGATTTGTACATAGCTTTGAAGCGGATGAACAAGACTGGGATGTGAAAGCAGACTTGTAAGCTTTTTTAATACTGATCACATCTAATATTACCAAATGTGTTCTTGGAATCATGAATGAAAACTCAGTACAAAAACATTGGCCATGCACCATGTCGAATCTGTTTCACAGCCCCAAAATCAGCTCCGAGCTGGATGCATTATGGGAAAATCTGATGCAGCCAAAAAGCAATACTGCCAACATCAGCCTTGAGTTCCTGAGATTCTCAAGCACTGAGACTCACCAGCGTACAATATGAGACCTTCCCACCACACGGGTGAGATGTGAGAGAGATGGAAGGGACAGGAGACGCAGTGAAATTACACATGAGGAGATATGAAAAATATACTACACAACAATGTGCAAGATTTAACAAAAAAGGAATGCAAAATATACACTATGCAATTAAAGCAGATTTAAGTATGTACATCCTTACCATCAACGTTATCAGGTCTAAAGTTGACCTTAATATTGAAAGCTTTATAAGCATTTTTGATAGTTGGCAGGGTGAGGTACGACGAGGGTTCCTGGGCAAAATATGGCATTACTCTCTCTGGAAGGAAAAACAAGAAAAAGAATCACATTATAGTTAACGCAGGCTTTTCTTTGGTTCATACTCACAACTATTTACTAATATCTCAACTCCCCACACTAACCATGGACTTCAAGTGTAGTAAAGGACTCCACTTTGCCCTGCTTGTTTGAGGCTGTACAGACGTATGTGCCAGAATCCTCATGGGTGACCCGAGGAACTGTCAGCACGTTGGCTTCTTGGAAACACTTAGCAGGAAGCTCCCTATCAAGCTAGATAAACAAACAAAAAAAATAAATAAAAAGATTTGTACATAAAACACACTATCCACATATTTTTTTAAATAAGGTTTTACCAAAGAGAGACTTTAGCCTCAATAATCTATCTTAACAATGTCTGCTAGGCTACCTTAGACCATTTGATATCAGGAACAGGATATCCTGAGGCCACACAAGGCAAGACTGCATCTGACCCAACCGCCACCTCCTTCGTTTTTGGCAGAGCAGCAATTTGAGGAAGGGCTGTGCAAACAAGTTAGGAATTGAAATGATGATGAGTGGGAGCTTAAGTCATTAATATGTTTGAAAGTGCAAGCATCTGCCTATGTGATGAAAGGGAAAAATGTCCCATTATTAACTCACACTGGACATTCAGGACCACTTGAGACTGTACTGAGCCCACATCATTGGTGGCTGTGCAGCGGTACTGGCCAGCATCGGCCTCTGTCACCTGTTCAATCTTCAGCATGCCACCCTTCACTACAATGTGAGGTGGCAGAGACCCACCGACTTTGCTCCACTTTACTGTGGGCTCTGGGTCACCAACAGCCTGGCATTCAAACTCCACAGAGTTCCCAATCATAACTGTCTGCACTGAGGTACGCACATTGATCATGACCTTTGGCAAGGCTGTGGAAAAAATAAATGACAAAGATGAATAAGGTTGGAACTGGTTTGGATAAAGCAGTGTATAGATTAGCGTATACACAAAGGACGTAACAGACCTTGGATTGTCAAACGAGCAGTGTCCTGTGCTTGACCATACACGCTGCTAGCTCGGCAGATATAAACACCTTCATTGCTTTGCTCTAGGTTCTCAATCCTGCAGGAAAAGGTGATTGGAAAAAAGTTTGAACACATATTATAGAACATTTAAGGGACTTAATTATTTTCCTTTTGCTTCTACAGACCTCAGTTGTTGTAGAAAAAAAACATTACAAACATATCAACAAACTACACCGTCGTGTAGGAGAGTGTATTTATCACAGTGAACAAAGGCTCTGCAGTTTACTTTTAGCTCATTTCTTCTGTACTAACCTCCTGCCTGAAATAAACACAAGCACACCAAATCCACGTCTGAACATAGTCCCCATAAATTCATCATATTTTTTCCTTGATATGCAGTTTTCATAATCTGCCCTTTAAAATTAAAATCACATAATTGTAACTTGTTTTAAAAATGTTCAGTAGGAACAAATTTACCTTAACAGAGACAATATAGAAAACTTAAAATGCATTAAGAGATTGATTCATGTGATGACTGAATTGATGCACATTTGTTGACTTGTAAAAAATCCAAAGTACACAATATCACCTCACCTTTAGGCAGGTCTTTTGAGTTTATTATGTTTAATTTGTTTTGGGAAGACTAAGATGAGAAGACTAAACTTTCAGGACACACAAACATCCACATACTGACACGTTTTTAATTATGACTTCTTTTCCATTTTCATGAATCCAAAACGAATTACCTGAGCACTCCATCCTTGATGTGGCTGTTTGGTGGCAGGGCTCCTCCTTCCTTTAGCCACTCAATCTTGGTTTCTACACCACCTGCTGCTGAACAGGTGAACTCCACAGCACTGCCCTGGGCTTTTACTTCAACCTGTGGTGCTACACGCACTGCCAATGGAGCTACAAAAAGGAAAGAAGACTGTCGTCTAAGTTTTGCTGTGACACAGCACATAACGGTTACAAGAAGAAATTTTCACAAGAAGAAATATGAGTGGTATTTATTTTAGACTACTGGCCTAACTCACATCTGACTGTGACTTTTGCAATCACTTCACTGTTGCCCACTTTGTTGCTGGCCACACACTTGTAGCTTCCAGCATCCTCAGAGGTAGCTAGGTTTATCTGGAGGTCCCCTTCCCTAACCTCAGCCCTTGGCGAGAGGTTTCCATCCAGCTTGGTCCAAGTGTAGGTCAAAGGAGGAGTTCCATGGGCCAGGCATTGCAACCTGATCACCTCCCCAACCCGCACAGCCACATCATTAGGCACAGAGGTGGCATACGGAGGAGCTAGAGACAAGAGAGGAAAAACTCAGTAGATTAACTATAGACTGCAAAACTACTTTAAATCCATAGTACACGCATACCCAGACAGACTCTGAAAAGTGACTACAGAAGCAACAATGGAAATACAGACACTCACTCTCTACATCTAACGTAATGGTGACTTTAGTGGTGCCCATGTTGTTGGTGGCACTGCAGATGTACTCTCCAGAGTCTTGTCTGCCAACGTTTTGCAACACCAAGCTGCTGTTCACAAGCGTGTGCCGCCAAGGCAGAGGGGACCGCAGCTTGGCCCACCTGATTTCTGGGGCAGGGAAACCTACCAAAAGACAAAGCAGGCAAATAAATATATTCTTTTCAGCTCGGCTTGAAATGGACACTTTCAAACTGTTTACTTCTTGCAGTATTCACTTAAAATGAAGCTGATTTTACAGGTTTTACCTTTTTATAGTACTACAACATAAAAACTGTCAAAGTGTATTTATAAAAAGGTTTCAGATGAATTCAAAATACATTACCGTGGGCCTCACAGCGCAGTGTTGCAGTTTGACCCTCCACTACAATCATAAGCGGTTCAGGAACAAAGGCCCTGGGCACTGTAGGCAACTGGGATCCTCCCTCGACAATTACTTCCACCCTGGTCTCAGTAGTACCTTCATTGTTTCGAGCTGCACACACATATGTGCCACTGTCTTCTGGACGTGCTGCTAGTATCTGAAAAAAGGACATAATTAAAAGAGATAATATTAAAATAAACAGACAAGCACTGACTTTGAAGCTGGGTCTTTAACTAGGAAAACAGGTAGAAATCTGGATTGGTTTGAAAATTTTGACAGTGGTCTAAGAATATCAGTACCTGCATGACTGCGTTGGACTCCACGAGCACAGGACTGCTCAGCACTACCTTGCGGTTGTTGTCAAGCCTGTGCCATGAAACCGAGGGGCGGGGCTCTCCTGAAGCTTGGCATTCCAGGTTAATGGGCTCACCCACCCTAATCTGCACAGGCCCGACAGGGGTTACCGTGGCCACAGGAGCCTCTGAAGGTACATATGCACAATATTGGTATGGAGTGCTGATATTTAAGCAGCCACTAGAGGGAACCATCGTGCAAACCAGTTTGAATAAAGTGCTGAATGACATGCATGCAGCTTACCCTTAACAATCAAAGACACTACTGTGTGCGTGATGCCGAATGGATTGCTTGCCACACAGCGATAGGCACCATGGTTGGTGGTGCGTGCATTGGTAATGGTAATAACAGAACCATCAGAGCTAACTTTGACATTGTCTGCAGAACACAGTGGCAAATGAAACATTAAATTAGCTTTAAAAACTGAAGAAGACATTTAAAAAAATTGTACTCAGCCTACAAAATCAGCAGTAGTAATCTCTTATTCACTGGTACAAAGAGGTATCTAATTACTTCTTTAAGACAGACAAAAGTGTGAACCTTTTTGGCGGTGTGGGGTTTGAAAGAAGTAAAACTTCACGGGAAAGGAGAGTGCTAATGAAAACTCATTTAGAATTTCTCTTTCAGGTTGGGGTGCTGTCTGAACATTTTCTACTTTTGTTTAGCAGAAAATACTTTGTATTAGTCATATTTTTAATACTAGAAATGCTCTGTGTGATTTAGGCTAAGAAGCTGCTTGACGAGAGCATGGAGGACGAAGTACACAGAAGCTTTGAATTCAATGACCCACCTTTGAGCAATCTGACACAATATGGACATTATACTTGTGAACTTTCAGGTTAAAGATTTTTTATTGTCCAATTTAACTGAGGTGGACATGTGGTAACATTTAGAAAAGTTCAGAACTATAGTAAATGTGTGAAAACACCCTGGTTTTTATCCTTAAATCTCAGAAAACTCTCAAAAACATTCAAATATGTTTTTCTAGCCCCCACGTAAACCCTTGGTTTCACTCTAGAAAATATGAATATTTATTGATCATATTTATAAGCAAGTATCAATTTGTTATTACAATAAAAAGGACGCTTTCTGAAAAGCTCCCTGAATGAAGTTTAAAATTAGTGATTAAACATAGAATATATTATGGAGGGTGAACTGCAGCTGTAACTGATTGTAAATAATTGTGTCATAAAATCAGTAGTTATTAAGAAGGTTTTGTTCTTTAAAGGCGGTTTGAGCACAGTAATTACCTGGCAGTGGCTTGTTACTGGCCAGTTTCCACTCCAGTCTAACAGGCTGGGCTCCACTGTACACATTGCATTTGAAGCTGGCTGACTCCCCTACACGCACTGCAGCGCTGTGGGGTTCAATGGCAATGATTGGGCTCTGCTGGCCTGCAGCAGAAAACAGTGGTTTTGACTCTGGACAAAATCTCTTTGAACAATCTCATTCATTTAACTGATCACAAAAACATGAAGCAACAGATTCATCATGGTGATGGGTTACACTGGCAGCTGGGAAAGTAACTCAAACATCACTGAAGTCAAGGAAGAAGTGAATGAGGATGAGATCATGGGATAGTTGCAGGGAAAATAATTCAATCTGAGGTCACACTGGGCAACACTGGAAACTGAAAATGGAAAGTTAATTCATGAAGTGAAGCAGTGAGAACAACACCTTCCCATGTAATGCCCTGTTTCGCCCAGCTGCTGACGGATGCTGGCAAATAAAAATCCCTGGTACTGTCAATCTCAAGCATGGTGAACACAGTGAGCTTAAACAATGTGAAAAAACCCAATGGGCTCTTAGATTACTCGAGTCTGTCAGTCAGTCTTTATAACAGAACATTGGAAACAATCAAATATTTAAACTATTTTACTATTTCATAAAAAAATATTAGATCATTTGAATATAATGGCAGCGGAAAATCAAAAAAAAAAAAACTGAGCAAAGAAGACTGGAAAATTAAGTGTTACCAAAAAATAAAAAATAAACAGCTGGAAGAAAATTTTGCAACTAATTTGGTTAATTAGCAACAGGTCACTAACATGAGTGGGTCTAAAAAGAGCATCTTTTCATAGATTCTCTGAAATAAAGAGGGACGCCAGTCTGCAGAAAAATTATTTGAGCAATTTCAGAATAATGTTCCTCAACGTACAATTCTGAATTCTGGATGTCTCATATTATGGAGGTGCATTAGTGTCCATAGAATGGGCAGCTTGCACATCTGGAAAGGCACCATCAATGCTGAAAGATCCATACAGGTTTTAGAACATGTGCTCCCGTATGATATCTTTTTCAGGGAAGGCTCTCAGTGCCACACAAACTTACGTGAAGAAGACGAAGTAACAGACACAGAGACAGAGGCCTGATGGATATGAGATCCAGAGCCGCCGGGGTTTCCTTGTACTCGACAGATATACTCTCCTGAGTCGTCTGCAGTAGCTGACAGGATTCGTAGCTGACTGCCCACAACCTGCACAAAGGAATCGAGTTGCTTCAACTGAACATGCAAGATGAAATTACCACCTTACATTTACTACTGGAAAAAAAATCAATACACTAATGAGCAAAACATTATAACCACTCACTAATGAAGCCAATATAATTGATTATTATGTCTCAACATTACACGTTATGCTCAGGAATATAGTCACACAAGTTACGGGAAATTTAGTGATAGTTACTAACATAAAGTATGCTGTTGTATATAGGGCTGCAAATTCACAGACCAGGGACTGAACTACATTTTAAGCAATTGAAGGAAGCCAGTTGATTCCCTTCTCTCTGTGAACAGCTAACATTTACCAGGGGAAGCAATGCCACCAGGATGCTCTGTGGGAAGGATGAACCCTACAGCTAATTTCCCCAGATGAAACTCAAACTGAGCATCTGTGAGCTGCTGTGGAACAACAAGTCTGTCATCACATTGAAACTTAGGGGAGTTAAAGGATTTGCAGTTCATATCTTGTTGCCAGATACCACAAGGCCTGAAAAGTCTATTCCTTGGTGGTTCGCAGCTGTTTTGACAGATGTGTCCATCTAGATTATTTTGTGTGACATGCTTAGTTTTGGAGATATCATTTTTGGAAATGTCAGCCTTTTCTTGAACTAGATGGCATAACTTTCTGGTGGTTAAAGCATTAAAAAAAGTCAGCAGTAATGTCTCGTTCCAAATCTTAAGTTTTTCTTACTATTTACTGTTTTTACAAAGTTCTTTTGTCGGAAATACATGCTAACTGTGCATGCATTACTAAGGATTATATATTACTATTACTATATCTGACATAAAAATGCTGACAAAACTGATATAATGGATAGGCACAAAAGTAGGTTGTGCATACAGTGGACTTCGGCAAGAACCGCGATCCTTGTGATTGTATAGTATGTACTGTATGCATGTTGAGTGAGTCTAAGTCAAAGAACCAAATTTATGTGCAGTCTGGAAAAGATAAAGGTTATATAGATTATTTTCTCTTGCTAGCATATAAGATATCTCTTATCAAATGGAGGAACAATGACGCACAATGTGTGATTACCTGGTGATTGGCAGAGAGGTGTCCACTAGCTTTAGTCCAGATGACAGGGGGAGGAGGATTTCCTGGCGCAAAACAATTGAGCTCCAGATTGTGGCCTACTTGGACATCAGCTATGGATGGTTGGATGCTCACCACATTATAGCTATGATCAGCTGCATGGCACAAACATAAATAGTTAAGCTGAACAGTGTTTTTATCTGTCAGAGTATTTATAGTAAAACACAATAAAATGACATTAACATTGAAAGTTGTGTCTGAGCCACTGATGACTTTAGTTTGACTACCATGCTGTCTTACCTTTGTGCACACTGACTTTAATGGGAGCACTATTTGAGCCAATGCTGTTGCTGCCGACACACATATAAGTACCCGAGTCGGCCACCTTGATATTAGGGATGAACAGAGTACCGATGTCGGTGCGGTCATTACGAGCCTGGAGAGGACATACAAAAATGAGACAAACTTAGAAACTACATTACCATTCTTTTGCGAAACAATACAAAACAAGCATTATTTGACTTATATTTGCCTCATATTTGACAAAGATAAATCATAAACTGACAGAGCACATTACTTACCTGTGTCCTTTGAAACAGCACAAATATAACATTGCTGATTGAGTCACATTACTAGCTAAAAGCAACACAAAAGCGCTATAGCATAGGTCTTAAAGACGAGACAAGAGCTGTTATTACTCTAGTTTGTACAGTTGTTTATGAATTTGGTGACACTGTCCATCGTACATGGAAGTGTAAAAAGTAGTGCCAGCTTTACTACGATGTTATGATTTGTTAATAGTCCATGATCAGTGATAATTACAGCACTGTGCACTCATCTTGAGGACTTTTCTTTATATTTTGTTCCCAAGCTTCCAGCAGCCTTCTTGATTTTTTGTGGTCTCTTCTCCATTTTCTCTTATGAAGGTCTTTCAAAATTCTTTGAACATTGGCTGTTTTTTAATCCTTTTAGACCATTTGCAAAGGAAGGATTTTTGTTTTTTAAGCCACGTACCACTTACCAGGCCTACAAAAGTATCTAGAGCAAATAAACAGTATCTGTTTAGGAACAGATGCTGCAGACCGCTTCAAGAATTTTCAAAGAAATGTTGCTTAAGAGCAACTGAACAGGTATTATTGTTCAGTCCCAATTCCCAATTATTGACTTTCAAGCTGGTTTAAAATTGAACAAACTCTGTTTTTGCCTTACATAATGTGCCTCGATTTACATTTGCACATTTCAATAAATCACTGTACCTATTTTCAACTTTCCCAGCAAAATATAAAGAAATTTGGGGTGACTCAAAACTTTTTGCACAGTACTGTAAATTTACTACAGCTTACAGTTGTTGATCACCAAAATGATGAAAAAATTACAACATTTAGAGAAAACAGGTTGTGACAGTTAGCATTTTAAAACAGGTCTAAACTTTATATCCACCATCAAATATCTTAAAACAATTTCACCACATATTTATGAGCTCCTGAGACTTTTCAGCTAGCAACTTGACTTGTTTGTACTCTACTCCACATGGCAGTCAGATGCCCAGCAAAGCTGAAAATGAGCTTGTATTAAGTTTGGAAACACCTTAGATGGGAGGAGAAACAGAAAGAGGTTGGTCTGGGGAGGGATTACTGTATCCGGGGGGTGTCAGGGCATCCATGGACAAAGCTGCTTAGCTTCGGACCATTCAACCGTGAGGGAGGCTAAACCGAGCAGTGGCTGAGGCGGGCTGTGGCTCAATGTGTGTCTGAACCCATTGACAAGTTTTCAAAGCAAGCTGTTTGCTAGAGCATACAGAATTTCTGCGTGGTCGCACGGCAGAGCCCGGCTCCCCCTGGGAAAGGCTGACACAACGCAGTGGCTCTCTGAGGCAGAACTAAACAGGCCCCGAAGCCCTTGTCAAGCCGAGGAGGGCCGGTCAGAATCCAGACTAACACAAAACCCTCTGGGCAGGGGGGCAGAGGGCTACGCCTGGCATAGAGAAAAATATGTCTGAAATACCTACAGTACCTACTGTATACTTAGTGCTGTTAATACACTCAATGGAATGATGGGGGTCAACTGGGTGCTGAAAACCCAAACATTTGAGGGATGGTATGATATGGACAGCACAAAAACAGGACACCATGGAATGCCTTTATTATTACAACATAATTTAAAAACAGGTACTGCATGCGAGTACACTAAGAAGTCAACCAGGCCAAGCTAGTTGGTTTTAATGTATTTGGCACCAATGCCACAATGACTTAGTGAGCAGCTGTGACAAATTAACATAGTTTACAAGGTGTGAATCAAGGACACGTTTGATCATGCACTTAGTCGACAATGTGTGAAGACAAGGTCAGTAGAGGACAATGGATGTGAACTATGAGACAAAACAGACAGACGGTGGACAGATGGACAGACCTGCAGGTCCTCAATACGTCTCTGTAACGCATCGAGACTGTTGCTTTTAAACTGATGGAAACCGTGAGAGGGAATAGCCTGAGCAAATGTCAGAACAGGGTAGGACAAAAAAAAAAGAAGAGGAGGAGACAAACAGAAGGGAGGGAAAAATAAAGTTAAGAGGTCAAAATGCTGAAACAGCCATAAACACTCTGATTACCATCGGCACTGGACTTACCTTGAGGTTTTAGATAGAGATAATACAGAAAGGAATATAAATGCGGTTACAGTTTTTAATTAAATGCTGTTCTTTCAGGCACCGGAAAGATGGATATAGCTCACCTGAGGGGGGATTTGTCCTCCATTTTTCAGCCAGGTGAGCTTCGGGGTGGGTGATCCCGATGCTCTGCAGTACAACCTCAATGTGTCACCTTCTTGGACTTCTGTATTTTGAGGACTGACTTGGACTTGAGGTAGGTTGCCTAGACCGCTAGGGTTAGAGTCTAACCAAAGAATGAAACATCACATTCAAAGACACATATTGTGATCACAGGAAACTGGAATCATCTGTTAACTTAGAAAACCACTCTATTCCTAAACCCGAGCATTGTATTTTGTCCCCAGATAGTTGTGAGTCCTCAAAATGTTTCTGTGGAAACATGAAATAAAAAGGCATACACACTTAAACACAGTGCATACTTTGGACAAGGAGAGAAACCCGCGCTGTGTGCTCGCCATGCGTGTTTAGGGCCTTGCAGGTGTAGTCTCCCTCATCAGCCGCGTCCACTGAGGTGAAGGTCAGTATGCCACCTCGTATCACTGCTCTCTGACTCATTCGGTTACCTGGACCTCCTGTAGGGATCACACAATTACACTAATGTCACTAATGACAAAATCAAAGCAGTGGGGGTAAGTTTTGTAGGTTTCTTTTGCTGGACTAGATTTCCTAGAGACAAACACAACATAGCGGAATCTGGTCTTTCTACTTAAATAACTAGAAATAGCTCAATAAACCCTGCATTAAATAGATTAAGAATGAAATCCAACTTATCATACCAATCCATTCGATGGCAGGGGTTGGGTTTCCAGTTACTGTGCAGTGGAACTCTGCCCTCTGGCCTTGATAGACGTTCAGCACTGAGGGAGTTACAGTGGCCAGAGGCCGGGCCCCCTCTGCAGCTACGGAAGGACACAATTCAGTCAAGCACAGCTCTAAAATCTCGCCAGACCTAACATGGAGAAACAGACCTTCTAAATGAATCATGAATTTTTGTCAGGAGACTACAGCCTCTGCTTGACCATCGGGTTATTTTATTACAAACTGTGGAAATGTTTTTACATGTAAGGGACTGATCAGACTTAGAGAGAAAGTGATGGCCTGTGCCTCAACCCACTTGGCAGCCTAAATCCCCAGTGCAGACAAAACAGATGAGATGTGGCATGCAGTCCTTGGCAGGGCCTCTGCGTATATTGCTGTCTACGCCAGTTTGGCTAGCTTCTGGACTGTGTATTCGATCCCAGGGTAGCAGACCAAAAGAAAGGGCTCTTTCAGTCGGATGGGAGGAGGCTATGTACTGTAGTGTAGGCTGAAAACTGGGATTTTTGAAGCCTTGGCTAATCTTTGACTCTCTGACCCCAGTGACACGAACACTCCAGGGCGTTCACTGTGGGACATGAGGCAGGCATGACAGTCTGAACACTGGCTTAGCATCTATGAACTGATTTGATTATGACTATAGATGTATTTTATTATTTGTATTTGTTATGTTTTGTAAATGTCACGTCACAGCAAGAAGGCCGTGGGTATGAATCCTCCGTGTGACCTTTCTATGTGAAGTTTGCATATTCTCCTCATGCTTGCCGGGGTTCTCTCTGGATTCCTCCCACAGTCCAAAGACATGAGGTTAGGCTAACTGGTGATTCTAAATTGTCTGAAGGCGTGAATGTGAATGGTTGTCTGTCTCTGTGTGTTGGCCCACTGACAGACTGGTGACGTGTCTGTCACAGGGCAGACATGGTTGTCCCCCCACCCACACATACCTGGATTGGATAAGTGGAACAAAACGGATGGATGGATGTAAATGTCTATGGTAGAATCCGTGCAACATGCAATAACACTTAAAATACCATAAAAGGAAGAAAACCCACCAAAAAACTACTTCTCACATTATTAACATGGGATCTGTCTTAGCAGTTAGCTTTGGTTTTATCTGCCCAGTTTTTGAGATATAATTCTTCTCATCTTTTTTTACTCTGGTTATACTGTATTACAGTAAAGGTATTTCATTTGCTATTCAAATAGACTAGCAATATCAGTAGTTCCATTAGTTTGTACTATTTTTTAACTAAATGCCAAGAAACATGTTAACCTGCATGTGTTTAAGAAATATATTGAATAATTTGCTAATTATCACATTTTAAGAAGAGCTCAAAAAGATTGGATGTTTTTATTTAAGAAGTTTTAGGGCTATAAAAAATACCTGACACTCTCGGCCTGATGATGGTGCTATGTGAAAGGTTTACTGGTGTTTACAAATAGTTGTGAAAGGATGTGAATATGTGTAGTGCTGCAGATTTCATGGCAATCCATAAAGAAGTTGTTGAGGAATTTTATTCAAAAAAACATAAACTGAGCACTGAGTGAGTCTGGAAAATAGTCATGGGAATAAGAGTTATTCTCTGGGCACCACAGATATTATATGGAAATCCATTCTGTTACTCGTTGAGCTAATTCACCTGTGGCCACTGCAGAAAACAACTATCTATAATCACACTAGAATTAAGATACTGCTTTAAGAAACAAATATTTTCTTCATACAGTGTTTGATTGTATGAAGCCACTGCAGTATAGTTTAGCCTAGACACTCACGGTGTTACTTAAAGTACACTTCCATCTGAGTATCTCTTCACACAAATGGAAGTGTGGACTCCAGTCTGCTATGCACATTTAGCTATGATGCAATGGGGTTGTGATGAGATGTATTAAGCACAGTATGATGTTTGAAGCCCAGATGACAGTATAAAAAAAGTTTAGCATGATTCCTGAAACGATAGAGGAAAGTGAAGAGGAAAAGAAGGTAAGGATGAAGTGACATTTCCTATATGACATTCTGTCATATAAAACATGCAAGTACACAACCAGAAAATTAGCTGGACAATTATTATTTTAACAAAACAGACTTAATTACTTTGTCCACGTTATATTTCATCTTTTTTGGTCATCTGTAACTAGGACGATAAAGTAACTGAAAGGACTCCAGTGACTGAAAAAAATAGATTTTTAAAAGTTTTTTTCTAAATGATGGAAAGTAGACTCTACTTTCACAAGGAGATGCCCATTGGAATGAACATGCACTTTTCCCAGCAGTGATGGATCCAAATGAACCAAAAACGTCAAGTAGGAACCAGTAACACTCATGTACAATCTTATAAGCCTTAATTCTAAGAAGGACACAAAAAACACATTTTTAGCTCTAAATTCGACTTTTTTGATACTTTTTGAACACCACATAAGAGAGCATGTATGCTCCAGGCTATTATTTATGCAGCGTCTGCAGCTGTTGCTTGGGTGGTTGTACATGGATGTTACCAAATCACTAGCGCATCCATGCTGTGGAAGATTAGAGCATGCATGTAAAGGAGACAGAGAGAGGAGGGTCCTTCTAGGGAACCCTGTAGAAGAAATCATGCTCATGCGGACTTACTATGTCTGCGTCCTTCAAACATTTCATAGGATGTGTAAAACATCTGAGTCTGTGAGGCCTCTGGATATGAGGGAGGGAGGAAGGGAGGGAGGGATGAAGGGAACAGGTAAACTGACAGGTCAGCTTTCTGAAGTAACGGTGGTTTACCTCGCATCTCCTCAGAGACACTTACATCCGTCCTTGCATGTGAGTCGCCGTAGTTTTTCCCACTCGATTGCAAACATCATCACACACGATGTAAACATGTTAAAAAATCATGGGATTGAATTCAAATGGCACCACTTTGACATTTGTTTTTCCATTTCAGCTTGTGGTTTTTTTTAATTGTTTAAGAATTTGTCACTCGTGGTGCCATTAAATAGCTTCATGCATTCAAATTAATACTTACCTAATACATATTGTGTGAGTCAAGATAGTTTCCGAAATGATGCTTTGAAATGTATCAGTTTTATGCTTATCTAACAATGAGGAAAACCCACTTAGACTTTAACCCCTTAGCAGTCCTATTAGTCCCCTAAACCATCCAATGTCCCGTGGGCGGTACGTCCGACTGCTAACAGTTTAAAGTCTGACTACCACATGTGTAACAGACAAAAGAATCATGAAACATACAAACACACAGACACACAGACTCAAAGAGCATCACTATGAGAACTGTTCAGCAACACAAAATTAAGATATACAAAGTAGCCACATGCAGGTTAGTAGCAAGAAGCTGTTTTAAATACAGAAATTTCAGGTGCTAAAAGCCAACATACAGCTTGTGGTCACCCTGAATCTAAAATATATTATAGATGTAAATGAGTGAGGCTGTAAAAAAAAATCTCTTTGTTCTATATGTGATACTTTTAATAACTTTTTTCTTTTAAACATATTTCACAGTTAATATAAATACATTGTAGTGTACATTACATAATTTTGGTGTGTTTTAAAAAGAAAGTAAAAAAAAAGGAGAGTAAATTAAAAAATATATATAAAAGCACATTTGTGTATACATGCTGACATGTAGCCTTTGAATTAATAAGAATGAAAAATAAAGAAATCTACTCAGTCGACTGAAATAAAGCCAAAAAGACAACATTTAAAGTTTAACCTGTGAAATTTAAAAGTATTTTTTTTTAGTAAAAATACTTAAAATTGTGTGAATGTAAACAAACATCTTGCCATGTAACTGTGTCCACGTTGCCTTTTTTAAAGGTTCCTTTAAAAAGCCACCCAAAATCTACATTTCTTATATCTTTGATTTCATGAAAACATTCTAGGCTAACAAATTTCAGTCAATCACAGAATCAAAAGCACCAACAACATTGACAAAGTGTAAATAAAAAACATAATATACAATTGTGGTTGATTTAATACATGCTTTTTCCTTTTTCTTCTGCAGGTCAGATGAAAAAGTCAGATATTGAAGTTTTTACCAACAAAAAATTAGAAGTAGCAATCAATACAAAGGTGGACTAACACTAAAGGAATGAAACATTACTATTACAACAGTACAGCACAGTTCAACAGTAAATTTAAACATAGATTTAATCAACTGTGTGACTAGTAGCACCATTTTGTTCAACAACGTTCATCATCAGGATGGTAAGTGGAGTAACAAAGCAGCCAGTAGTTTCATGAAGGGACACTTTAAAAGTTGGGTAACACAAATACTCAAGAGTAGTAGGACTTCTTCCTATTCATCCTTTACAGTGAAGTCCTAGTTGAATGTCAGTCACACAGTCACTAAGCACACATCGTGGCATCCGCATTTCCCCTCGTCTTATGCACTACGCTACACACACTACACTTAAGCCAGGGAGGAGCATAGGAGCACACCAGAATCCAGCACCCTGCTAGCAAAATGTTTGGCAGCAGCACCAACAAGAAAATCTATGAGTAATCAGGAAGCAACCAGACCACCACCGATTAATTATGAAAAAATAAACCAAAAAACAAACAAACAAGAAGATAAAAATCAGCAGTAGCTTCATCAGAGTGTTGGCAGAAAGCATTGTCCACAAATCACATCTCCAAAAGAGATATGACCTTTGAGTGCCCATTAGTTAATCTGTATGCTTGCCCATGTATATTGTGTGTTATATCTTATGTTCTACAGTTTCAGTTATTACCAAACCCACAAGCTGTATTTCTTCATATATATTCCAGGAAACCACATTAAGAGACACAAAAGACTGTAAGTTAAAAAAAAAGCAGAGAAGAGAGCTGATTGATTGGCAGCATGAGGTCAGACATGTCATATATGTGGTAACTGAGAGCAGAGGGCGAAAGCACTGGGAGTTAGAACTGCAAGCGCTTAGGAAGCTGTTAACCCTGAGCTGAATGTTTACATCACACAACGTGAAACGAAAAGCATGCACTACTGTAAGACGACGGACTGGGGTAATGTGTGAGGAGGAGAAAGTATGGTAGTCACAGCTGGTATGGCAGCAAGGCGTGATGGGTAATGGAATGCGGTGCCAAGGATCACGAACCTGGCACGTAGAGGATGGCTCTGCCCTCGTCCATGCCAAACATGTTGGAACCTGTGCAAATGTAGACACCTGCATCCTCGGGCTGGACATTCTGAATTGTTAGGATGCCGTTAAAGTCCATGGCACGGTTGGGAAGTTTCCCATTGCCGCTTCGAGTCCAGACCAGAGTGTAGGCTGGTGACTGTACATAAGTTAGCAGATAAACATATATGAATCTCACAGGGTATACGTCTCCAAAACACTGTCTCAGTGTCTCATAAATAAAGGATGAGCTACGTTACCTTGCTCTGTGCAGTACAGATGAATTGGACAGTAGACCCGACCCTTATAGTCTGGGATTTGGGCTCTTCAACGATTACCTGGATAGGTTTGGAAGGGACACCTGGTGACAGGGAGAGTTAGATTACATTGACTGTTTAAAAATACTTCAAGAGGATTTCAGAACGCAACACAAGACACCAATTTAAATTTACCACAAAGCCCAAATCCTTTTTTTTTCATCATAAAAATCAGTGTTTATTGAACCACAGCTGACATATATTTGGTGTTCTTTAACAGGCAGCATCAGGAAAAACATCTTTCTCTTAATGTGACAGTGATACCCATACACACTTGTGACAACAATTTCAGCGTGGCTCCTGTTAGTGCTGCGCTGGTCTTGGCAGGTGCAGATGTAAACACCGGCATCCTTTGGCTGGACGCTGGTGAAGTACAGCTCGGCTCCTGCACACACAAATTTGCATTTGCATATATATATCATCATTCTACTACACAAGATACGATCATGTCAGTTTCATTTACATTTAGGGTGAAAGGGTTGAATCTTGTACCTTGTCTATGTCTCTCAGCACTGCCGGAGATTGGCTGTCCATCTTCTCTCGACCAGAAGAAATAGTGCGGAGGTGATCCAGACACCTGACACCGCAGAGTGACAGGGTTTCCCTGTGGCACTAGGACTCTCTCTGGATAAATTCTGACTACGAGTGGGGCTGCAACTGGAGGTGCAACGGTTAATATAAACACTCAGGAATTCACTCTGAGAAGAATTTTGTAAGAACAGTCAAAAATTTCATAAATTTCTGAATTATTATGTTTCCTATAGATTTCATGCACAGTTACAGCACAAGGCTTTCATTTATTTTATTGGAAGCATGGAAACGTTACCATCATTTGGACGACACTTCTCTCTTGCCTGTGGGTTTCCAACATATCCAGGAGCACAACTAACAGGCACAGAAAAAACCCCCCCGTCTCACAACAGTCCATGGAAAGCAAAAGCACTTTTACAGAAATTCCAGTAGGTGTATTTTCATAAATGATGCATTTCATCTTATTAATGAGGTATTCCCTCTGAGAGTAGCAGTTATTTTACCGTTCACAGTACTGGCCAGTGTAGCCAGGCTGACAGGCAGTACACTGGTAACCTCCATTTCCAAGGCTCTCACAGGTAGGGGAGAACCTGCATAAGTTACACACAAAGTAAAAGTATTGGTCTAGAAACTAAGTTAACAAGTAATTGGTGTTTACTTGTAATTTTGACTAGACTTAGGGTCCTTTATGGAATTTATAGTAGTCTTTAAGACGTTACCTTTTTACAATTGTTTTTCAAAATTATTATTTTCAACAGATTTGGTATTTCATTGCCATGAACCAGCAAAATTATGTTATGGTAAAGTGAAATGTAAGTGCAAAATCAGACACTTTCATCAGGATAATGAAATACGCAGGATTTGATATAAGGCTGTAGTAAACAGGGTAATGTTTCACCAATACTCCAAAATCTACAAGACAGGGTTAATTGCACTGGACAGCTGTCCTGAGCTATAAATAGAGCTGGAATGTAACGTCTTACTATACGTGCCAGAACTTACTGGTTGTCTGGGTCAGTGTGAGGGCAGGCACATGGCTGGCAGTCTTCTGGAGTGCCAACAGTGGGGTCACCAAAGAAACCAGGAGCACACTGCTCACAGAGCTCACCCTGCGTGTTATGTAGGCAGCTCTGGAAGAAGGTAAATACTCTGTTTAGAGATCTTGTCAGGAAGCTTTAATTCAAAGAAAAATACCAATCATTAGCTGATCTGGTGCTTCGTACTGTACAGATGCCGGTCTCCGGGTGACAGGAGTCAGAGTGACCATTGCATTCACAGAGCTCACAGTGACCCAGGTACAAGCCACCACCGGTGCGGGTATAGCCAGGAGCACAGTCCTAAAAATGACACATACTTGATTTAGGCACAATCAGGTAAAAAGGAAAAAGAAAGAAAAATCTGAGAAATTTATTTTTTAAAAAAGATTGACCTGGCAGGAGAGTCCCTGGTATCCAGGTGGGCATCGGCACTGCTCCACCTCGAGGGCCTGTGCCAAGCCGCTGTAGTTGGGCACAGCAACTTCCATGCTGATGTCAGAGATGCTGGAGGAGCGCATCTCTGTGGAGTAGGATGCTCGAATCAGGATGTCATCGAGATCAGCCAGAACCATCATCAGGTGCTCTCTAGTGGCAATCATGCCATCAGGTCGACGCCAATTTTCCTAGTAGGGAGGAAAAAAAATAGGCTAAAGCAATTGGTGTGCATTATGAATAGATTTTAAGAAAAGTGAGTTTTAGCACGTTCAGCTTCAGGAAGATAAGAAAACAAAGGACAGGCTCAGTCGTGGATGGTTTCACTTCAACAAGCCTAAAATTTTCTGTAGTTTTTATCTCTATCTATATATATATAACACAGGTCTATAGTAAAAATTAAAAATATATTTAAATTGGAAAAATCTAACTTGTAATTAAATTGGCTTATAAAATAACTTAACGCTATGAACCACTCACCTCTCTGAAGACGATCTCAAATGTATTCATCTCTCTGCCCTGTTGCCTCCGCTGCCAAGGCTGACGGGCTACCAAGGTGATGTCATTACCCTGAAGGAAAAACACAAGCAGGTGAGCAAATCCTCCTAATGCATATAACAATGGTAGAAATCAGCAAACTTCCCAGAGATACTCACAATAATCTGAACGTCAGCATCATCAAGGAGCGTTCCTCTCGGACCAGCCACATAGGAAATGGTATATTTAAGTTTTCCACCATAGGACCCCACCTAAAGCGTGAAATTTAATGTCAGGTTAATGAGTGCTGCAGTTCTCAAGATAAAAGAGAAATGTGAAACACATTGGTGGCTGCTGAAAGTGAGTTTTTACTGACAACAAGTCCTTTGATAGGAGGATATAAAGGTGTAAACTGATTTTTTTCCAACATGTGAGCATCTTTACATTTTGCAGAGTTGTAAATACATGTAAAAGTGCATTCCCTGAATTTTATCCATGGGAAGGATGTCTAATGGCTTCTGTGATTGTGAAGGTTATTTTTTCCAAGGCCATTAATAAAGAAAGATACCATCAACTTGCTTTATGTATGCTTTTGAAGCCGGAGGCCATAGCAAAGAATGAAAGTCATGACATTGCTGCATCTGCTGCTTTTGTCTCATGTGAGACGTATACTGCCACGCATGTTTTCATCACTTCATCACTTAATTAAGAGAAAATCTAATAACATGATCTCTGACCTTTGCATTACATCTCACTTTACAAAAAGCCAAGCAGTTAAAACTCCAATCATAACATGGCAAAAAGCCCTCACATTTTAATACACAGGAGGAATGTAGGACAGGAAATCAAGAAGCTACACTGAAGGGAAAGGGTGGGGGACAACTGGAAAAGTATGGGCATAGGTTTTGTGGACAGGTATGTAGGAATGCTTGAGGATAATAGGAGTGCAATATTTTATGTGACCTCTAAGGGGATGACCAGGAGCGAGCCACGTTTTCACAATTACCTTATCCCCTGTGAACTGCCCTGGAAGCTGCCAGTAGAGCAGACCATCCTGGTGCAAGTTGAAACCTTTGTAGACCAGAAAGTACTGAGAGGCAAAGGAGGAAGGAGAATAAGCCACAGGAAGCGAGCGAGAGTTAAGCAGCAAGATGAAATCACAAGCTAGCAAGCAAGAATTCCAGAAAGTATGCCTGGGAAGTATCGGGGACAAACATAACATGTAACTAAACACTTTGAAGTAGATGTTTTCACGTAGGAGTGTTATTGCTGCCAATCGATAACAGCAGAGCACTTGCACTGTGCCTTGCCTGACAACTAAAACAGCAACTTGCACAGTCAGTAATACGGCAATGACAGCTTAACAAGTGCCTCAATTAGATGGGGATCTAAACCAGACAACAGCATAATGACAGGCCATTATAAAAACCAGTGTTAAGTGGAGAATTACAGTGCACACTGTGACAGCAATGAGTGGGAGTGATTTGCTTAACAACAAAAAATACCTCCATTCCAATTAATCACTAGAATTAAGTCAACTACCCATTCTCTAGTGTTTATGAACTACATGCATTATATTCAGCATTAATGTCACAAATTATAATTAAGTTTTATTTTAAATATCTGGAAAAAAACAACCCTCGACAAATAAAAAAAGAAAGTTGTTAATTAACTTTAAAGGATTAAGATTATAATGTACATGAAGTTAGTCACTCAGTCATTCCACTATCTACCTTGCTGGTCCCACCAGTCGTACTATAAGTCTTGCTCACTGTGTTCTTGCTCTGCTGATTCACGGGAGAACCAGGCCCCAAAAAGAAATGCAAGACATCAGCAAAAGGGTTGCGAAAAATAAACGAAACCTCTTGCAATCACTGACAGAGTGTACCTGGAGATGAGGAGCATGTCCTGGGGAGTAAGGTTGGGGTCGAGTTGGTCTAACTGAAGCGATACCAGATGGGGGGGGTGGGGGACTAGGGTTGCGCAAAGACCAGCGAGAATGAGAGGAAGACGAAGAGGAAGTCGAGACTCGGGAAGTATAGGGAGAAGAGTACGGAGGAAAGGAGGAGGATTTATAGGAGGGAAAAAATGGAGGAGAACCAGCTTGCCCATTGGAGAAATTAGAGAGAAGTGCCCAGACTTCATCATCCAGCTCTCTGACAGCACCCTGAGGGGAAAGTGGTGTACCAGAGACAGGTAATAGGTAACCTGATATATACCCACTCCAAGAGAAGGGGGGCCTACCATGGAAAACTTGCTTGACCATCAATAAAAGTGACAAAGTTTATTTAGAGACACCAGGTTATGCAGGCAATCAGTTTTTATATAGTTACTGTAGATGCTGCCCATGATAGGCTCATTCTATTATTTCCACTCAAACAATGTAGTCACACCAACAAAACACTTAAAAAGTTCTTTCACGTAAGAAACTACGATTTTGCTATTCATGCCAGAGTTCTCTATAACTCACTCACATGCACACACGCTCATATCTGATGATGTGCTTCTGCTCAGTCCCACTTCATCAAACCCAAGTGTTCATGCTGCTACATCTAATAACCAAGATGATGATGTTACTTCTATAGATGTCCACAAAAACACTGTGCATCACTTATTCTTGTTAGACAAACGAGTTTTACATTCTCCGATCTACAGTGCAGGTCACACCAAATACCTGACTAGCTCTTTTGGTTCTGTGGGTGTCTTTACGCTGAGTGGCCATTAGGTTCCAGATGGAAGCATCCTTCCTTAGCTGCTCCTCTGGCAAATATGAATCACTCTATTGATGTGGATAAAGTAAGCTCTTTGATCACTTTGCTCACCACTGAGCTGATGGTATTTGCAAGTGTTATGGCAGTGTTATTCCAGTAAAAGTTAAAGTTTATGAAGCTCTTTAATGCACCATTAATGATCAATCCACAGGGCTTATATCATGTGAAGCAGAAAGCGATGTGGAATATGGACTTTGATAAAAGTGGGTAACTCTAAGGGGCCTTTGTTTGCCACCTTCAGCTGCAAAATGCATGCACAGCTGTAAAAATGGCATGCATCTAATAAATAACTGTGCCAGTATAGATAAATGATCACAGAACTTTTCAGTGCATATTCACGATATATGCATAACATGATAATTATTATTATTGTACATCAACCAGCGTATTTCAAATGCAGTACAGTTACTTGAAACATGCCAGATAACACTGCACTTCAGAAAAAAATCACCAGATTTTATATGATCTAACAGCAATCACAACATACAACAACTGTATACCTGATCTTTTCGTTTCACACGAGCAAAATGAGAATTTTTCTATAGAGCGTGGGGAGGGAGACAAACACAAAGAACAAGCTACATTATGTGAGTCGTCACTGGGGCCATCAAATCTATACAAATTATTTTGCCAATATAAATGCTGTTCAGATTTAAAAGATGAAACCACTGCAGGAATGAAGGAAAAGAAATCACGCAAAGATTGATAAACAAGTTCACTCTAAAAGGACTGGCTGAAGCTTGAAGTAAGAAAAAGCAGCAAAAGGGAGAAAATAGTTGAGTAGGATGGTCTAGTTGTTTCTGATGTGTGCTGCTGAGCATGTTTATATGCAGCATGGGGGTGTTTTAACTGTTGTATCTGTGGTATATTCTTTTTAATACTGACCTTATCACCCTGGTAAACTCCTGGAAGCTGCCAGTAGTGAGGCTCCTGTCCCAGGTAGTCAAAGTTACTGTAGGACAGCTGAGTGCCTTCATTGGAAATCTCTACAGTGAAACCAGTGGAAATGCGACTGGTGCGCTGACGGTTGACCAGAGCGAATCCCTGGAAGTTCCCTGGAGAAAAGACTGAGGACACCTACAAAGCAAATTTAAGTATACAAGCCACTAAATAATGCAGTACCACTTAAAAAACATTAATAAATAAGGTGCTTAAAAGAAAAATATTTTGCATTTCCTCATTTTTTAATCGCAAAGTTTTAAAGTGATAAAAGATGCTCCTATTAAACATTCCCACAGACAAGTAATCTCTTTGATCCAAATGCTCAGAGTTCAGACGGTTTTAAACGCTCCACTTCAAACACATTTTTACACTTTCAGATCAGCGAAAGTTGATACCCCTAATATGGTGATGTCATATTCTCATATTCTGGCTGTGAGCACAGAACACCCTTCCACCTTGTGCTGAAATCTTTCATTTCCAAGAGGCAGAAAATCAGAAAAAAAAACTTTGCTAAAAGGAAGGGAGAAGCAGACTAACAGGCTTGATACAGACTGCATGAGACTTGAAGGTCTTCTTGCACATGAATAATGAAAGTGCAGGGTTTAATAGAGACCCACTACAAAAGATACATTAAAAAAGGTACCAAAGAAGAAAGCAAAATGGGGGAAGTTGCAATAATGAAAAAAAACAGGAACCTTTCTGTCACTCAATTGTTTATTTGTTACTTAATTACTTTGGTGTAGTATGAATGACTACAGCGGAGGTCTTTATCAGCAGGAAACACTGTAAAACTTATGATAATACAGTTAAAAGTCCAAGATTTATGCCCTCCATCACATTTTCTAACGCTGCCCAGTAGGCCATATTGGAGTCTTTGCTGGGCCTTGACCCTATCTGTTTTTGTATTTTTACTATTATTTAAAGTCTTACCAGATCTCTGTAGTAGGTTGAGCTGGAGCACTGCTGAGTGACACCCATACAGAAGCAGGACAGGCAGCCATCTTTGTTTTCTTGGCTCAGATGGAAGGCCCCAGTCTTACAGGTGGAGCAATACTGGCCTTCAACGTTCATCTACACCAGCATCAGAGGAAAAAGATACAAGCAGCCCATGCTATAATATTCAGAAGGTGAAAATACCTAAGGAATTAATGCAAACATGAAGTGACGGTGTCTGATCACCTTGCAGTTGCACACACCACTATTGCAGCTTTCATGCCCTCTTTGGTCACAGTTATAGCACTCTGTCACACGGCAGAAAGGTAGAAGATTACAGTAAGTTCTGTATTGAATAGTATCTTTGCAACTTGTATTTTCCTTATAAAAATAAGGCACAGATTTGTTATTTTTCTAGATCAAAATACTGAATTTACCATCACGTCCATTGCCAACTTTACAGCTCTGTCCAAGCATTGGATTACCAGTGTATCCTGGAGCACATCTGAAATAAAAATAGATAGTTAAAGTAAATATTTCCAGTCAAGAAGGATGCAAAAAGTATTAACCTGAAGAACAATGGGGCAGGAAGCTGGGAAGCCTGCTAGAAGAGATAAATTTGATGAATAATGTCCTTTAAGGCATCTTCTTGACCCAAACCAGACCTCAGCGAGAAACAAAGGACTGAGTGACTCAGACAAGAAACACATGTACCATTCTGTTACTCCATTCAGCAAGTATACGCATCTACACAGACAGCTAGCATTACATCAACATGAACCAAATCACCCAGCTTTTCCGCTGTATACTAACAGGTTTTAAACACTGCCTGCACTGGAGATGGATGAAGCACAGCCTCTGATAAAACTTTCAACATGTCTCAGATGTTGATCCCATCTCTCACAGGAGTGTTGTACAGCTGAAAATGAGAAATCTCTTTTTCAAATGAACAGAAACACTACAATTTATAGAAAACCAGAAAAAAATGATCAAGATGAAAACAATTATTAATCTAAACTCATGTGACAACAAAGAAAGCAGAGGTAGGAATAGTAGCTACTAGGAATAGATAAAAGAGAAGATGCTAAGGCAGAAGAAAGTGATCATTTTTGATAGTGTGACAAAGAAAAGCAAAGCACCATCAGCTCAAGCATACATTGGCACTGTCACCCAGCTCATCCAAACCCGATTTGTGCAGGGACGACTGCTGTCAGTCTTACCTCACCTATCCTCTGGCAGGTCCATAGGTCAACAGCCAAGAAAGCAGACTTCCATGCTATAAACTTGTTTTCAGAAACACTATTCAAACTGTCTACTGGGACTTCAAGAACTTTCCAAAAGGAGTTAACTTAATCTTGTTTTACAGACATCATAATAACAAAAATCAACATACAGTACATCGAAATTGTCATACTGAAAGAACATCATATGGAAATTATAAAAATATAAAACGCAAAGCACAATCTCCAAAAGCAGAAAGCAACACTCATTTTTTTACATGACAATATTAAAATTTTGCCCTTGGATTCTTTTTTTTATGTCCAAAGCCTTGGACTGCAGAGGAACATTTAGGGGTCAAATTTGAGGTAGCATGCCCATAATGAAGTGAACAAAGTACACATATGAAAGGTTCACATGCTAAGCAATCTCTTCATAGCGGAATTGTGTGCAATAGTTCTGACAGTACTTTGCCACATAATACACTTAAAAATATGTAAGCATCTGCATTAAAGACTAAAGGAATAATACACTAAAGGTATCAAATGCAGGACTTGTTGGTTACTGTTTGCAAAAAACCCAAAAAGAACAAAGCAAAAACAAAGCATTGTCCCTTTAAAATCGGCCCCTCTTTATGACTCGAGTAAGAGGGAGAGGAATTTTGCTTCAAGCTGTCCCCTGTGGTCTCTGCTCTGTGTGAGCAGCACAGCTCAGCCGTCAAACACACACAGAGAGCAGAGGACAGAACATTTTTAAAGATATCCACTGTGACTAACCTGCAATTTGTTTTTGGTTTGGGATAAAAGTTGCAGCTTAGAAATGTAGCAAACACAGCAGAATAAGAGGGGAGAGAAGAAATGACAAAAAATGGTTGGGTTTCTGCAGAGGAAAACATCCCCTCCAAACACTTTTGTATTAGTCTATACTGTAAACGCATAGTATACCTTTAATAAATTAAAAGTCACTGTAAAATACTGTAAGTACTGTAATATTTGTGCCTTCATTATATTCCATTGATATGATTGTAGTATATATAAATAGGACCAAGATCAGAGAAATAAAAAAAATAACTGAAAAAAAGTTATACAACAACAACATATTTTCTAGTCATCAGGGATAATTTTGATGGGAATGGCCAGCTTTCCCAAGACAATATGTAGAGAACCTTCTTGATTCCTGCTCTGCTTAGCAGATTTAGAATCTCCATTTAGAAGCCTCAGCAGGTCCAAAACTCCAGATTCAAAATATTTTTTCTTTTTATGTTGGTGTTTTTTAGTGTTTTTCTTCCTAGGAACAGCCTTGGATTTAGTGGGACTTGATGTCCTTTTTATCGTTATGTTCGACTTCTTCTTTGGAGAGGTAGCGTTGATTTGAGCAAGAGTTGTCCTTCTTACTGTTGTTTTAGGTTTCTTGGCTGTAGTAGCCTTAACAGTCTTTGTGGCTGTCACTGTGACCTTGGTTGAATTTTTCGTTTTGTGAGAGGGCAACTTATGAGCAAACTTGCGTTCAGTCTTTTTCTTATCTGGGTTAGAGCTACCTTTGTGAGGCTTTGGCAATTTCTTTGAATCATCTTCTGAAGTTTTCACACTCTCCGGAGCCTTCTTTGTTGCATCTGCTATCACTGTCTTTTTACGGCCATTGTTTATGTTAAGTAGAGCTGGATCCTTTTTATTGGCCCGATCAGACTGTTTTTGCAGCTGAGGGATTTTAGCAGGCTTTGAGTTGTGAGGTGGTGGGTCCACTTGAAATTTTGTGATTGTTGCCTCTTCTTTAACTTCCTTTAGTTTTGTTTGCCTTGGCTGTGAATTATGTTTTGGTGTCACAGCAGCCCTCCTTCCCTCCGGCTTTTTTGTTTGAGGCTTCACTACAGTTTGAGGTGTAGACTCTGAGTTAGTGTTAGGTTTACTTTGGCTGGTCTTCAACCTGACTGTTGATCTTGCTGAAGACTGATTTTTGAATGACCTATTGACTGATTGGAGGTTTGTTGTGTTTTTCACTGATTGGACTTTTCTATCTGTCTTAGGAGCAGATTTGTGTTTGTTTGAGAGGAGACCTGGAGTCGGTATGCTTTTGGGAACAGTGGCTTTACTAGTGAGAGACATTTTAGTAGGTATAACTCTGACCTGAGGCTGAGGTGTTGAGTGCAATGGGACCGCAATGACAGTTGTGAGTGAAGGCAGAACCCTTTTTTCTTGGAGTGAACGGGAAATGTGTCTTGTACGTTTCATCTTGTTCATCTCCTGAGCCAGGGCTGTGAAACCATCTATTAGGATCTCTAACCGCCCCTCTAGTCTGCTCAGACGAGCCTCCATTTCTGTGTAGCTCTTTTCCAGCTCGCTAACTTTCTTGTTCTTCTCTGAGGCTGTCTGCAGACTGATAACGTCTTTCAGCTGGGAGCTGAGAAGACTCTGCTGTTTCTCCATACTATGAATGCTGTCCTTCATATCAAGCGTGTTGCTTTCCAACATGGTCAGTCGTCGGTTAAAGGAGTTCAGGTGAAGCCGGAGAAGTTGCTGGAAGCTTGACTGTCTGCGCTCTGGGCTTGGAGTGAAGCGTGGTGGGAGTCTGGACACTAACTTTTTGGGGGTGACTGAAACAACGCCCACCCCAATTATTTTTGTTGATTGAGTTCTGTGATGCTGTGATGCAGTAGACAATAAAGCCCTAGTAGGGATAATAGTAGTAACAGGCCTAGGATTTTCACTGTCATCATCTCCACTGCCGTTTAGTTCTAATTCTTTATCCCAGTTGAAATTGAATATTGTTTCAGGTCCACATCCCATAGGCAGGGAGCCCTCTGTGTGCTTCTCCAGGAATGGGTCCCCACAACTGTCTGCAGATGGCATCTCTTCTCTTAATATCAAAATAGCAAAATCAGGCAGGGATACAGGCAGGGACTTCATATCATAGTAAATGAAAAGATGCGCTGTGTACCCAAGTCACCTTTTCATCTTTGCCACTGGGGTGGCAAAGATTCATTAGCCAGACAGTCCACATAAATGCCACATCTACATTTATGACCAAAACAACTGATATGTGCAGAAATCACATTAGCCAGCACCTACAATGTGTTTCTACCAGCCAAGCAAAAAGGTGAAGCAGAAGGCAACCTTTGAAAAAGGCTTCTGGAGATAATGTAAAAGGAGAAGAAAGCAAAAGTAAGATATACAGAGAAAAAAAAGTCTATTTCCAAACTGTTAGTTCTCCTTCAGCATATTTCTTTTCTATAAAAAAAAAAATCTAATCTGACTGATGGCATCCTCGTTACCAACGAAGGGAACTGAGCCAACAACAAAGACACAGCATTGTGCCACAGGAGAAATAACCTTAGTGGTCTGTGTCGCATGTGGGACGAAGAAAACTACTAGTAGCAGCAGAAATAACTTCACAATCTGCAAATCAAAACACCCACAATACAACACTGAGAACCACCAGCAGCTCTGTGAGGACACAGTACAAAACCTTAAAGATATATTAGAGATCCCATCCCTCCTTTGATATACTTCAGCTACAAAAACCATGAAAAAAAGGGAAATTTGAACCACAGACATGCTTATATCCCACTCCTGTGAATGAAATCAGTCTGTGCTACTGCCAGCCCCTGGAAACCTTTCTGCCGGCCAGCCAGGTAACCCCAAACACTGAGCAGTGCTTAGACAACCCTGAGAGGAAGACAAAGAGAAAAATAGAGGGATGAGAAATAGAAGAGGAGCAACGTACCTTTCACAGCGTCGGCCAGTGAATCCAAGAGGACAGTTGTCACAGGTCGGCTGGCCGTCAGAATCCAGATAGCAGGTCGTGGAGAATCTGTTTGAAAAAACAGAGATGACGATTGAGAATGATCCTGCCCTGCACACAGTTTACTTTAGCATGAAAAAGAACAAAAAAGTAAACTGAAAATCATTTCTGACATAAACTTACTGGTTATTAGAAGAGATTCCAGGGCAGGAGCAGGGCTTACAGGCCTGAGCACCACCCGTGACTGGGTCTCCATAGAAACCATTTTGACAGCGCTCACATCTTGAGCCAGCAGTGTTATGGAGACATTGCTTTAAGTCAGGAAACACATAAAAAAGGGGTGTGATCCATGGAACAGTTGAAGATATGGCACTTAGGTAGCCACATGTTGGGATTTGCCAAGAAATAATTTGCACATTCCGTGTCAGAGATCAAAGACGGCTCAGCACTGACAAAGGCTACAGAGAGGGGAAGAGTAGCACAGAACCTACCAGACACCTGCCGGTCTCCGGGTCACAGCTGCTGGCGTGACCGTTACAATCACACCTCCCACATGTGCCCAGGTAAAGCCCAGAGGTAGTCCGCGTGTACCCTTCGTCACATTCCTGCAGAATGGAAAAAAATGGAAAAGCACCTCAGGTGAGAGACAAGTGATGACAAACAGGAAAATGTCTTTGTTCCACTGCCGGAGCGAGACAGACTGCAATTATTGCCAAGCAGTATTATGGAAAAAATTAAGAGACTTTATTTCTAGCAAGCTTAGACACATCTGTGGTGCCTTTGCTTTCTTTCCTTTGTCAGAAGGACTTCAGTAAAATCGAAGGTTGCAAAGTTGCTCGTACCAATTCAAAACAGCAGTTTGAATTATCAGAAGATGGAGTTTGCAGTTTCACATAGAACGGATTACAGAAGCTTGAAGCTAAGCTAGCCTCAGATGAACAACCATCAATGTTTACATCCTGTTATTCTTGCTTTGATACATTAAACTGATTTAACTGGCAGCTGTAGTTCACATGAGGGAAAATATTTCCTGTGCAAAACTACATGTATAAATAATTATTGATTTATTTATAAAGAGACATTAGTGCAGATTTTTTTCATTTTCCATTACTTTAAAAACTCCAAAGCAAAAATGCCTCTTTCTGTACAACTAATAACAATGAATAGAATCATATATCAATAATCATTAGTTGCAGCTATTAAGTTTTTGTCATCTCATCTAGAATAATCTAGACTACTCTCCTCATGTGTACCTGGCAAGATGGTCCTCTGTATCCTTGAGGGCAGGCGCACTCTTCCACCTCCAGAGCACGTTCATACCCAGTTGAGTGAGGAACAGCAATGTCCATCTGGATATCTGAGACACTAAATCACGCATAAAAAAGACATGTGAAGCAGTGTGATCCTCTCGGATTAATATGTGATTTGTGAAACTTTTCCACACTCTTTGAGGAACCTCCCAGCATACCTGCTCTCAGCCAAATTGTCGGCATAGCTGGCTCTGATCATGAAGACAGCAACGTCTGCCAGCGCCATCAGTAGGTGCTCACGAGTACACGGCTGTCCGTCAGCACGACGCCATTCAGACTGTCAGCCAGAGAAAAACAATTAAGTGAAAGTGAAATGTTGATGAGGATTTAGGTTTAGCTAAACTCCCAAAAAACACTGAAACACACCTCTCGGAAGGTCACAGTGACAATTTGTGGGACACGTGGGAGCGGTCTGGTTTGAGCGTAGTGTTCCAGGGAGATTCCATTGCCTTGGAGAACCACATCTGGCTGACCATCAATCATAAGAGAGCGCTGAAATGGTTCAAAGCTCACTGTGTAGCGAAGCTCTCCGCCATAAGCTGTCACCTGGTAGCAACATGTTGAAAACAAATACTCATTCGAATCAAATTAGTTTTATTCGTGTAGTGCCAAATCATAACATAGGTCATCTAAGAGCACTTTACATAGTAATATCAAGACATTACAATACAGAGGCAGCACGGTGGCACGGTGGTTAGCACCGTTGCCGCACAGCAAGAAGGTCCTGAGTTCAAATTCCAACATCAGGCCGGGGTCTTTCTGTGTGGAGTTTGCATGTTCTCCCCGTGTTTGCGTGGGTTCCCTCCGGGTACTCCGGCTTCCTCCCACCATCCAAAGACATGCAGCTTGTGGGGATAGGTTAATTGGATAATCCAAATTGTCACTAGGTGTGAATGTGTGAATGAATGTGAGTGCAAATGGTTGTCTGTCCCTGTGTGTTAGCCCTGTGACAGACTGGCGACCTGTCCAGGGTGTACCCCGCCTCTCGCCCTATGACAGCTGGGATAGGCTCCAGCGCCCCCCGCGACCCTGAAAAGGATAAGCGGAAGCGAATGGATGGATGGACAATACAGAGAGAAGCACAAATTTCCTTTGAGCAAGTGTTTGGAGACAGCTGAGAGACATCATCAGTTTTAAACAGAAAGAAACTCCCAGCAGAAACAGATTAATGAAGTATGGCCATCTGCTTTGAAAAGGTGAGCATTTCAACAAACTGAATAGTGGAAAGGTATTTAACCCCTCCGATACTGTGAGGGGAGTCACAAGACATCCTTGACTGGCTTTGACTCGAAGGTCCAAAAGAGCCTCAATGCATGGATAAAGGCAGCCTTCTTACTTGACAACATAGAAATCAGAAAACAGAAATCACCTTAAACATGCATGTTTTTTTCCTTGTTCCCTGCCTGCTACTCACTTGGTTGTTGTTTTGTTAGTTTTCCTCACCTTATCTCCCCTGAAGTTCTCAGGCAGGACCCAGTAGTAGATGTCATCAGGGAGACTCGAGAAGAAACGGTAGACAACTTCAGAGGAGCCCCTTTGTGAGATGCCTTCAGTGATAGTATTAGTGTTGGCACTATTGGAGAGGGAGAAGAGTTGCCCGTTTACGCCGCCCCGCACCTGAGAGATGCAGAAACAAGTCTGACTGAAGCGTTTGCACATTGCTTATAACTAGAAACAATCTAGAACCTGAAAAGATTTGCTGATACAGCATTAGTGAGCAAACACTGAGTGACATCATGGTGCCAAATATATGTGCTCCTTCTTTTTCCATTCAGAGCTTGGCAGCCCACCTGTTCTCTATTCCAAGTGGAGCTGGAACACTGTTTGGTGACGCCCATACAGAAACACTGTAGACAGCCTTCAGCGTTGGACCCTGATAGGTGGAAGAACCCAGGCTTGCACTCGTCACACAGAGCGCCTGCCACATTGTTCTGCAACGTAGGCAAAGGAGCAAATAAACAAACACAGTCACATATGTGGCCCATGTGCCTGTCAAGCCCTTCAATCCTTTGATAAAAAATGGCAGCAGAAAAACTCAGCCTTGCAGATTTATAACAACTGATGATTTAAATGTTTACCATACTGCAGCCATACCTTACAGCTGCATGGCCCGCTGCTGGAGCTGACAATTCCTCTCTCATCACACTTGGTAGATGGGTTTGCTGCAGGGACAGAGCAGTGGAAAGATCACATATGGAGAAGAAAGTCCACCTGGGAGGGTTCCAGCCACCCTGCATACCTAAGCCATGATCACACACTACAATCTACTGTAACCCCAGGGGGGAAAAACTGATGGGAATCATTGCACAAGATTTAGATCTTCTTGTGATCATACGGCTGGATAACTGACTAGTTCAACAAGCCAAACAATAATGTAAAGGCATTTGGATTTCTTTAATGTAAGTGTACTCACAGACAGGGACACATTTTCCATTAGGCAGAAGAGGGTTACCCTGATAACCAGGAGCACACCTGGAAAAAAAACCAGACAGAGATATAGTAGATATCAAAGTGTAGTTAATTTTAATTTTAAATACATTTGGCATATTTGAGAATATTGCACCATACAATACAACAGTCATTGTCGCAAACAGCCCCAAGAGAGTCGTACAGCTTAATTCATATCCGTACAGGTTCTTAATTACGCTCAGTGATAAGGTACAGGTAATGATATACGTTTCCTCACTTTTCACAGCGTCTTCCTGTATAGCCGGGCCTGCATGCGTCACATGTTGGCTGTTGGTCAATGTTCAGGAAGCAGGTGTCCGAGAACCTACAAGGTCCGCAGAAAGAATAATGAATCAAAATCTAGGAGCTGCAGTTTAATGAGTAGCATGTGAAATGCATAAAACAGTATTCTCGTATCTGAATGAGCTCAGCTTGAGTAGTGAGAAAGCTCCGTTTATTTACCAATGAAACCTTGTTTGAAGACTGTTTCCGCATGCATTAGTCTTCCATATTGTACTGTAGATGTGTTTGAGCATTTGTCTTTGACCTTACCGTCGTGATGTCTCAGTGTACGGGCAAGGGCAGGGCTTGCAGTCATCAGGGCGGCCTCGGCTTGGGTCGCCAAAGTAGCCAGAACGACACTTGTCGCACTGAGGGCCCTCTGTGTTGTGCTGGCAGCTCTGTGGTTAGGAGAACACACAGTCAATTCACTCACACAGATGTCACTCAAAGTATATTTAACATTTTTGAGAATATTTGGGGTTTTTCTATTGTTGAGAATTCAATGAGAAGAGTGATACCATTGTTAATGGCTCTACCAATAAACCAAGCATGCATGCAAGACTGGAATCATGGGGAAATTTGGGGTGTTTTTTATATCATAACTAGCAAGTTTGGGTTTTGCAGTGAATAATATGCTGGAACTGTTTCTTAGCCTTTTTGCTCCATTATGCATCCACCATGAAACCAACTTCTGACTATTTTCCTGTTTGAATCAAAAGGTGTTACTTGCATATGTGCTGGTAGTGAGGCTCTATAAGCCTTTAAAAAGGGCTAAACAACCTATTTTGTCCTGCTTTTGTTTTTTAACCTGGGCTAAACAAATCATCCTCTAATGCAGACACAATTGTCTGACTCATTATTTTTTTGTTTTCGGGGTTTTTACCAGACATTGTCCGCTGATTGGATCACAGGCAGTAGCATGTCCATTACAATTACAACCAGCACAGGTTCCCAGATACAAGCCACCAGGAACACGCTCGAAACCAGCAGAGCACATCTCACAAGACAGGCCTGTGTATCCAGGAGGACATCTGGGAAAGATTAAAATACAAATGATCAAGCATGGCTTTCATAATGAAACTATGATGAGGCAAATTACAACACTTTGCGGTAAATAAAAAACAGCTGACTGAAAAACTGACTTTTTGTTGTTCTTGTTGCATTAGACACAAAGGAGACTGAGATGAAACTATTATAAATAATCACCAAAGTATAAATATAAAATTAGCCCTTGCGATGAAATAATCAATTTATTACTGTATTGTGCTCTTTACACTACATGTGTACACACTGGAGAAACCCAACAGACTGGGCGTTTCCTCCTTCTCACTTAACGCACCTGCATTCTTCAACGTCCTTAGCATGACCCAAAACGCTGAACTCCACAGTCGTGGTATCCATGACAATGTCACTGAGTGCCACACTGACCATGTGGTTATCATAGTTGGTGCGGATGCTGATGCTTTCCAGGTTGGCCAAGGTCATCATCAGCTCATCTCGGGTCACAGAACGACCACTGGAGTGCTGCCAGTTGTCCTAAAAATTTAACAATTAGGTTAACTAACATAATGCATGTGGAAGTGCTTAATTCATCTTACTTTTGATCATTATTAGATTATTACTCCGTCATGACCTATAAAATCTTTCTACATTTTCAAAAACACATATAATCATTACATCATTACAAAGTTACCACAGGATTGTGCAGAATCTGAACCAGAGCCCTTACTTCAGTGAATCTGATCTCCTTTTGGTTGACCACATTGGGAGGGGTGCCATTGCCTCTGCGGTACACAAGCCTGCGCCCATTTCCAACCAGCGTCACATCTGGCTTCTCCACAGACTCGGACAATCCGCGTGCTAGTGTGTACCGCACCTTAAACTTCAATGATCCTCCATAGGAATCGATCTAAAACAAATGGAATGATTAACACGAATAAGCGTGGCCATTAAAATGAGACTTGTGAATTATTTTCTCCTTACTTTATTGCCCAGGAACTGGCGAGGCAAGGTCCAGAAGGAGTCGAGGTTAAGGAAACGACGTGAGAGGTCGACAAGCTGGAACTCTTCCATCTCCGGGTTAATAAGGAGCTGAGTGGAGGAGAGAGGAGGAGTACCAGGCCTCGATGGGTAGGTAACGTTCACTCCTGGAATTGACAAGTTCAGATTTATTTTATGTTAGCTCTTAATGTTAGGAATAAAAGTTTGAAAGGTATTTCAGCTGACAGTTTATCTGTTCTGTCAGCTTAAACCATACGCATATGGATTAAAAGCTTTTTTTGCCTTTGAAGTTTTCCTCCTCTGTGAACCGCAGACTGATATGGTTGCGATAACGTCCAGTGCTCTTGCAATTTTTAGAGATTCCACCGCAGAAGCAGGACAAACAGCGGCCATTCACGCTAAAGTGACCATCAGGACAGTTGCCTGGAAAGAACAAGTGGATATAACTTATCTACAGTTATCCTACAGTTTCCAAGGTACATAACTTAATGTTTGTTGTTAAAACTGTAGTCACGTTGACGCTGGGCCCAAGGGATGTGTCCGTACCTTGGTTTGGATTTGAAATAAGAGTTAACACTCCATCTGGGATGCCAAACACCAAGCCTTTAGCATTAATGGCCTCGCATGTGTACGCCCCCTGATCTGACTCCTTCACATCACGAATAATGAGGGTCCCACGGCCATTATCACTGGTCACGGTAATCCTGAGAATAGAGAAATAAAACACCATTGGAATAAGATAAAAAGCTTTCCTTTACATCTCACTGTTACAGTCTTAGAAAACATTGTTACACAAAAACCCATCAATTTTAAATGTAATTGCCCAAACCACACATGCAGTCGTCTACGCCTAGAGTGAACATTTCGAAACGGCAACATCTGGAGCTGGAGTACACCACAAATATTCAGGTAATTACAATCATGGGCCTAAAGATGAAGAGTCAAAGCTGAGACGATCAGCTACACTGTCAACAGCCTCCTCACCTGAAACTGTATCACAGAGGAAAATACCTTCACAGAGATTTTCAAATCTTCAGAGACTACTGCAGATGACGTCTAGCTTTTATCAGATACCAGATTGGAAACAGATTGACTAAAAAATAACATTAACAAACTCCAATTCATAGATATTTTAGGCCATTTTGACTGTGTTTTCTCCAAACTTTGAATTATCAGAGGTTAAGAGTTTCTGAATGTGTACACTAAATTAGGTTTGATTATAGACCTGATGAACAAAAAGCACAGAGGTGGTGAATTTCCTATCAAACCCACCTGTTGCTGGTAGGAATGTGTCCCCAGTTGAGTCTCCAGGTGATAATGGGTGTTGGCACTCCAACAGCTTGACAGGTGAATGTTACTGTGGCTCCCCGTGCAACCTGAACTGACTCTTCTGGGGGGCTTGTTACAGCAGGAGGGGCTGCGAGGAGTCAAAAAGGACAAAAAACCAAAAAATAAATGCACATTTACAAAACAGCTGGCATGTCACTGGAACACTGGAAGCTCATAAAGGCCGAGGAAGTCAAATTCTCTGCTATGGACAGACTATTTTCTTTTAGTTCAGGGATGGAGGGCTCACAAAAGCCCTGTGTTTCACTGAATACATATGAAAAGAGCCTGTTTCACAGAAAATTAGGCAAAGTGTACAAAGGAGGCAATATACAGAGTAGTGTCAGAGAAGTGATTTGCATGAAAATATGAAAGAAAGCAGTTGAATGTGTATGAGAATGAGTCTATTAACAGGCAGATGTGGACAGGCACTGGAGTGAGACTTACTGCAGCCATACTCATCGGAGCGGTCTTCACAGTCTGGCTCTTCATCACACTGGTAACTAGCTGGGATACATTTGTTATCACTCAGGCATTCAAACTGCTCAGGAGCACACCTGTCATCGGGGCCCTTGGAGGCTGCAGTGATGACAAGATGAAAAGTAATAGCAAATTTATATCCCTTCACAACATAAACAGCAGCTTTGAATCAAGGTCAGAAAGGCTCATAGCAATTGCTTAGCACCAGCAACCAATAACCTAAACTGAAACCAATCATTTTTAGCATTATGGGAAAGGTGCTGCCCCACCTCTTGCCCTATGGTAGCAGGGATAGGCTCCTTACCCTGAGTTGGATGCATGGATAGATGGATGAATGGGAAAGATGCTTTTTTGCAGAGTCAAATAAGAAGATAAATACCACTATTTCTGGATTTAATATATGAACCTGAAGGTGTTAATTGGCCTCACTCAACATAAAGACTGATAAAAGAAGGACACCTATCATGGATCTATCCTCCTATCCTTAATTAAATTATTTATTAATATGTACACACAAAAAAACGGTGATGGACTCTTTTTCTTCATCAAGGTCACATTCACAGTAAAGTGACTTATTCTCAGTGGCAATACATACATTTGTGGAAAGTTTCGGAGGCCTATGATTTGTTCCTTCTTTTTAAATAAGTGTGGTCATATTCACACGCAAGTATTTTCCTTTACTTAACCAGTTCTGGGATATGGCGGTGGGGGGTGGAGCCTATCCCAGCTGTCATAGGGCAAGCAGCAGGGTACACACTGGAGGGGCCACCAATCTGTCCCAGGGCTCAACCATAGAGACAGAAAATCGTTCACACCTACAGCTAGTTTAAAATAACCAATTAACCTAACCCCATGCATGTCTTTGGACTGTGCGAAGAAGACTGAGTGTCTGGAAATAGCTCATGAAAATACAAATGTCACACAAAACACCCCAGGTGGAATTTGCACCCAGAACCTTCGCACTGAGGAGACAGCGCTAACCACTGCACTATCATTCCACCCACACAATTATTTGAAATAATAAGATGACTTAACAAATCCAAAATTAGATTTAATATTGTTGTTTAAATTTAAGAGACGGACATCAGAGAGGTAAGGGAGCTTTACTTATTCCTTTAAGACAGATTTTTACTGTCTCACAAAAGAAACGGAGACTTACGGCAGTCGGTTTCATCTGAGTTATCCTCACAGTCATTATCTCCATCGCAGCGCCAAAGTTTGAGTGCACAGCGACCGTTTTTACACTTGAACTCATTGGGTTCACAGGGAGATGGAGTACCTGCAAAAAAGGCAAGAGGCTGATTAGGGATCATGTTGCTCTCTGGGACTGTTCACATGTACAGGGCTGCGTTACTCACCACATCTAAACTCGTCGCTTCCATCTGGGCAGTCCCGCTGACCGTCACAGATATAGTCACGAGGTATACACTCTCCAGTCTGACATGTAGCCTGATCCACTCTGCAGGGTCCAGGTTGGCCGGGGGGACGCACTACCTTCTGGGTTGTATCAACTGTGGTGGCAGGGGTTGTGATGATCGGAATAATCGGCCCTATTGAGTGTGACACAACTCTTTCATTAGGCCTATGCAAAGATGTACACAGGTGCTAATTACTGTCTCACACATCAAACAGCCATTACTCCAGCATATAACTGATCATGTTAAACTGCCAACCAGTCACAATGAGGCCACTCACCACAATTGAGCTCATCACTCATGTCTCTGCAGTCTTGTCGGTTGTCACACAGGTATTCCATTAGGATACATGTCCCATCACCACACCTGTGCTCATCTGGCATGCAGGGTCTCACACTGGGGGTTACTGTTAGAGATGCAGAGGGGAAGCAGGGGGAGGGGGATGTTGAAGGATCAAAGACATGCATGCGTTGACTATGGTACAGCCAAAAAACTACCTAACGTCATATTAAAACACAATTAACAATTTTTTTTTTTTTAATTTCATTTAATTTTTTAAAAAAACTTCTCCTGGAACTCTACTGCAGAAAGAACAACTCAGAAGTGTTGAAAATATTACCAAAATCTGAAAGCTCGTGATAATTAGGGAGCTTTTCAAGAACATTACAAGATTTTCATTAGTGTTTGTGTTCTGGTAACCATAAAATATACCATAGGTTCAAACCAACATGGCAGCTATACTATAACACATTAGACAGATTACATTAGACGGGCAAGACAACACTGGACAGACTATACTGAAGAACACAAAAAAAGAGATTGACACAAACTAAATGACAAAGAGTAGATTAGACATGGCTAGATGGATACAAAAAAATAGAACAGACATATTTGATACACAATAAGAAATAAATACAAGACTGGACAAGAAAGGCTTAATAACGCACAAATAAAGACTGGATTGAACAAACACTACACTACAGTGAACACAGGCTACAAATACTTTGTAAGAATAGATTCGACACACAGACACACAAAGACAGCAAAACGAGACAGACAGATGAATGACAATGCTGTCACCTGAATAAACAAATAAAAGATAAAGTCACCATTTAACTCTATTAGTTGCCATGTCTGTATAGAGAGTTTTGTGGAATTGATGGCAAAAAAATTTAAAAAGCTGCATTCCTAATCACACTCATGCCATGCAAATATACTTTATACTCATTGGGCACTATTGGACTTCAAAGACTAAACTCAGAAGTAGACTCAAAGTCTGCTTCACACTTCTGTGCTTCCATGCAAAACATTCCTCAGACAACGGGACTTGTACACATCAAATTAAAGACACAAATGCTCAACTGTTCTTTCTAAATGCACTACAGTTTCTAACTCACCATGCAACAGGCATGGCAAAATACAAACCTGGGTCTGCTACATGCTCCGCTGAAGGCAAAGGTTCAGCTATAAACCAGAGGGAAATGTTAAGGTAACTGCCTACCCCGCTGGTAAATCTTCATCTGCTGTAAGTATACAGCAAACTCTTGGGTAACAGTGGCACCTATTTCAGTACTTCTTGAGGTCTTACCTACTCCAAGCCGTCTGAACTGAAAGCCCTGGACCGAAGTGCTGTAGGAAGCAATTGCTCCTTCCTTCACCACGTTGTACAGCACGCTGCGGATCTGTTCCTCATTGGCGTTGTATTCAGATCCCACATCTATTTCCACAAATACATCAACGCCATCCTCTCTTATCTCCTTTCTGCAAAGACCAAAAGAAGGCCAGCTGAGCCTACAGACTGTGTGGCATGCACCGCATATGTTAAACAATAAAGCTTGTTAAAAGCCTCCTCTTTGGCTGTCCTAGAAAGGACTTACTTATTGCTCCTGTATTACTGACTGAATGTCTACAATGCTGCTGGCCTACTGGCCTTGGGTAATACGGATAAACAAGAAGAAATATCACCTGGCAAGGTAAAAAATATCCAAACAACAAAATAAAGCTACTTTAAGTGTCACAAATAAATATTTAAATAATATTGTGTATGTTCTTACTTAACAAGGATCACACTGACTGTCTGGACACCTGGAATCTTGTTGTACTCTGACTCGAGCTGTGGAGGAAAAATAAATTTTTAGACACACAGTCACACATTCTTAAATTAGCAAAGTCATAAATAAAATGTCTTTCACCATATAAGGCAGTAACAGTCTTATGATACTGTACAAGAGCGCTATTTAGCACAGTTTATGAGAACAGGACATACCGTGTCCACCACTGCTTCAGTAAGCTCGATAAATTCACGAGAGAAGATTTCTTCGTATTCGGGACTGTAGACCAGGGAGGTGAAGTTGACAGAAGCTCTGTAATAAACTAGAAACACAAAGTGGGGAGAATTATCTGTTAGTTAAACTGCACATTAATATCCAACTATTGTCAGGTGTGCATGTTATAAGCTGCATTCAAGTCACTGTAGTCACGGTCACTGTGATGTGGGATACTGTTTGGAACTTCCTTTCCTCAGGAAAACCTCTGGTTAAATGTTTCAGGAGGTAAAAACTGAAAAGCACGACTGCGGCTTAAGTGAAAGCCACATACAAATTACAGCATCTATTTCTATATCTCAACTGTGACTGTGTCTGTGGCCAACAACCGACACACACTGACACAGTCACACTCCTCCACATACTGAAAAATAACCATTAAATTGTACTATCAACTATTCTGTGGGTCACAGACAAGGAACATAAATAATCTAACATTTTTAAGCATATTTAAATAGAGACACATGATAGAAATGAGTTACAAATACACATAATACTCGGGACATTCAATATAACAGGGCCAAAAGTTTGCTTCAGATCTCCTGACTGAATGCTGATGATATCACAGACTTGGAAGGTCAGTAGGAGTAAAGTCAGCATCAATACTGTGCCAGCAGCTGTGGAGGAAGAAGAAGATCCTCTGTGAATGACTCTAGAAGAAGGCCTCAACATTCCCTCCTCAAGTCATACATGCATGAGGCAGGAAGGCTGGAGAGCAGTGTAAGGGGTCAGAGGATTACCTCAATGGCCTACTTAGACTCCTTGTTCATGTAGTTCAGCAGCTAAAAACAGAACACTTTGCATTCAAATGTGTGGCAAACAGAAGCTGCAGTTAAATCGAGTTTTTATGCAATGCGAGCAAGTAGACATTTATTTAAATTAGGTTTTACAACATTGAGAACATAACAGACATTCCTGTGGTGATACCGTGCAAGGACTTTAGGGGTTTTCAAATAGCTTAAGAAAGCTTCATGTTAAAAGGTGAGAGCTTGCAGACTGAGATCCTGCAAACCATGTGCAATGTTTTCAGAAAATGATTCACAGTATATTCATATATTTTACAACAATAGCTTGTGATGATTACAGGAGAAACAAAAACAATAATGGCATCCGGATAGATAACAACAAAATTCTGTAGAAGCATCCAGCAAAGCAATTGTTCTTCACTTGTGGTAGATTATAGGAGCCACACTGTAAAATAATAGCTTCTGCCAGTACTTCACTGTAATTTAACAGGGAAATTAGCTGCATTAAAGGCTTTTGAAACATTCTCAAATTGTTGATATACCCTCTTGTACAAAACAACTATAATGTGCGACTCGTTTTGAGGGAAATATTCGCTATAATATTATGATTACAATGTCACAGGCTTAGCCATGAAACTTAAAATAGCCTGCGCCTGCGGGGTGCCCCATTCTCACACTCCTGCCAACACTTTGTTAGGATGGGCTTGCCAACCTCTGATTTTAGGCTGGTAGTGTGGATTTAGGGAGGAAGTCAATATTTGTACTGTTTCTTGCAGTGAGATGCTATTTGCCGTGCCAAAAGCAAAGAGTCATGTTCTAAGTAGGCATCTGCTCAGCCTCTAGTTAGAAACATACATGCCCAAATATGCATAAAACAATAAATCTGCTCACATACACACCTACTGTGTGCAGCCGCTATACCCAGTCTTGGTGTATATAATTTTCTTCACCCTTTCCTTGTTCTTTGGATAATTGCACATCACTAGACATTCACACTGGCAGCAGATGTACATCATGCTTAACAGGAGCTACCTAATTAAAAGTTATAGATTTCGTGTCTCACATAAAGGCTGTGCGGTCACTGTGTTTAAGAGCTTTCCTCACTTTATGCCGCTAAGTCCCATTTTCCTTCTACACATCGGTGTTACAACAAGACGTCCAACTCCTGGCGAGAAAAGCACCTTTTATGTCAAAGTAAATTGAGCATTGCCTAAGAAAACAGTAAGGGGAACAAGTAAGAACAGCACTGCAGGCTTTAGCACAACCTGGTGTGCTCGCTTTTCAGACTGCTACTATTAGATTTATAGGACCAATTGTTAGGCCTGAATATGGTCTCAGAAAACAAGCAACATCAAAGTTGCTCATCAAAGCGCCTCTTTTGACCCATATATAATCTAATCACTTGAGTGGGTACTTGCTGCCAGGTCAACAGTGGCTTGAAGCCCCATTTCTCTCTGAGCTTGCCGCAAAAAACAGAAGAATGGGACTGCCTGAGATCCTTTGATTAGAGCACCGAGTTGTGCCATACTGCTAACGAGGGCCTCTTTCACTCCAAGAGCTCCTGTGGGCAACTTGCTGCTTTCAGCAAGGGGGAAATCCCCTTTGCCAAGCGCCACCACCATCAAAGGTGATGAAACTGTGAGAACAGATGTGACGAGTGGGAGAGAGAAAAAAAGTGTGGAAAAGTAGCATTCCATACTTTTAATTCATAAACTTATTTGGCGATTAAAGCTGTTCAGTAGAACTGTGGCAGCTTTGTGCAATGGGCCCCTCTAACACTCAGAGGGCTACGCAGAAGACAAAGAGTTGATTGAGCAATGAGCCCAGCCTGGCCTTTAAACCCCAGCCACGCTGGGTTTGACCTTCAACCCCCGAGGCTGCGCCCAGCACCAGTCAAGCCATTTCCAAAACATGTGGGGGAGAGCCAGATTCTATAAGAACAAGGCCCAAACCACAATGCTCTAATAACGCCAACAAAGATCTTTAGTAACTCCCCTACATGGGATTTTGCTCTCTCTCATCTCAATCTCCTCCTTAGTTTTTCTGCCTATATTTCCATTTGCCAGCTGTCTCTTTCTCATCTTAACTCCCGTAGACACGATCGCTCCTACTTAACCCCTTCGCTGGTAACAAGCCAAAACCTCTGTTTCCAAGTCCATTTATTGCCCTGTGGGGAAATCTAGGGACTTAATTCTGGCTTCATTATTAAGCTCTCCCCATCCTGCTCATCCACAGTTTGCAATGTAGAGATCAAAACGACCACTATATATAAAAAAGGCTCATTTTCATACTTGTGTTATAGCTACTTAGTATAAGACCTGGTTTGTTGCATTGGAGTTGAACCACCAACATGAGGCTGATATTTCAAAGAGCAATTTTAAAATGAAAGCATGGAGTACATTTTGCAAGTTACATGGTAACGTCATTTCAAAGACAGTTTTAGCAAGAAATGGAAATGTTGTCACTCTGTTACATGATGGAAAAAGCACATAATTTTCCATAGCATCGGAAATCATTGGGAAATGCCTGTAAGACATTTGGAAAAACAAACCAGCTGGACTCAGACACTACATGCCCCAGCTGAGTCTTCCTTGGAATGTTATCTGAGAGTGTGCTTGGAAAAGACCGTGCATAACTGAATGGAACAGGTGAAAGCAGAGTGTGGCAAAGACAAGAAACAAGAGAAAAACAAAGTGTTAAGAAAGAGGTGCGTCAGGACTTACTTTGGTCGTGCTCACTTGGGTTCTGTATGTTCCTCAGATATGAAGAATCCAACCAATGTGCTATAGCAAGAAATGAAGTGCAAGCAGCAGAGAGCAAGCAATAGTGGGAAAAGACGTGACGGGGAGGTCAACACGGCACAAACATGAGCCAGAGGTCAAAGATCAACCAAGGAAAGCAACACAAGAACAAGGGAAACAAATGAAGTTAGCCAGGCAGGTGCAGAGAGGTTAAAGTTTCAGGAAAGTTAGACAGGGAAACAAATGCAGGGAGAGAGAAAACAGAGAGAGATAATAAGTAGGAGAATTGAAAAGAGAAAAAGTTGTAGTAACAGAAACAGGAAATCAAGAAGAGCCACTACGATTATGTGAAACAGACATATTACAGTGGTAGCAGAACAAAAAATCAAAAAAATCCCAACATAGTTTCATGAGAAGCTGGAAATGTCACCATCGATTTGCTGTGATCAACAGTCCCACTAATCATTACCATCTAAATGTTGTGGATACTGCTTCATGGGACAGAGGCTGCAGGAGGCGTGTGGTTTTATTAACCAGTGTCTGCCAGGAAACACATAAGGAAATCTCTTTACATGACAGTGACGAGGAGAAAAGGTGAGGGGCCATAACTTTAGACAAACCTCTTCCTCAGTCTTTCAACACAAAGAGAATACTTTACAAACAAAGCGCACACTTCCACATCCTGCTCTTCACATCTCAGCTGTCTGACACATACATCCACCCTGGCACTGCAGTAATGCAGGGAGGAGCTGTTTCCTGTTTTCCTTTTTAAATGGAAGAACTGAGCACCATTAAAAGAGTTTTAACTGGTTTTACCCTAAGTTCTCTCCACTGGCATGGGCAACAATGACCACGTTCTTTTTCGTGGTGACTCATTCATTCTGCTTGGGGCGTGCTATGAAATGTCAAGTGAGGAGGCCTTTTGGTTGTTTCAAGAAAGAGATCCAAGTACAAAGGTTGATTTACAAACCATTTACAGGATCTATTCACTATCTTGTAAACAAAAGCACCCTTAAAATGTATTAAAATGCTCCACACAAGCACTTTATACTAACAAGAGAGATTTTTTTATGCTCCTCTCCAGATAAATATGAGTCCACTCCATAAACTTCAACAAACAGTAGTAAACAAGATCTCCTTCATAATTGAGTGAGTATACTGGATCCAGCTGTTGTACAGCTGCACATGCAAAAACCATGAGGGTTCTGACACACGTTACTGCAGTTGTGGCATATATTTTAGAAGAAGGCAGAGTTTACAAAAAGAAAAAAACTGTGTTAAGAGTTAAGAGCATTTCTTCAAGTCTAAAATGCCCAGCCAGGAAACAATTGAGAGAAAACATGCCCTACCCAAATGACATGAGGTTTCCCACAAGAATAGTGACCCAAACTAATTAAGGCTAATGAAGCATTTGCTACTTCAAAGTCTGCTGATCTGCTGTGATCACTGTCAGAAACAGAAAAAGAGTGGAAGCCAGAGAGGAGGAGGTAACAGATTTGTTAATACTCTCTGCTCTGTTATGGGTTGATCGGGCTGAGGTCACTTTCTGAGACAGTGCTCACTGTGTAAGAGGCTGGATAAAGAGATATTTGAAAATACAACAAACTAAATGGATCTTTTACCCAACAGGAGAAACATAAAGTAAGTATATTGCTCAAAATACAGTAATTAAGACAACACTCAATCTTCATAGTATAACTTGAAGTCGGTTACACTTCAGGGACATCAATGTGTCCAGTTACGAAGCATAAACAATTGTGAATCCATTTCACTCGCTCTGAGGCAAATGAATGTGACAACAGGTGCAATGGAGAGGAAACAACAAGACAACTACATCCATTTTCTTCCGCTTATCCAATTCAGGGTCATGGGCAAGGCAATCCCTAAAAAGGGAATGGTTTTGTATGTGGTGGCCACAGACCATTGCACTCTCCTTATCCGTCTAGACTGATTTTTGTATACTTTATCCTTTTGTTAGTGTCCTTAACACCACTGAGACACAGTCTTAAGAGTGTGGAGGAGATGCTTGAAGATGGATACACAAAAGTGCAATGGACAGGGGCATAGAATGGCATCAATGCAGCAGATGGACAGTATCGGCTTCTTTGGGTCAGGGGCAGCAGGAGCACCGTCAGGACCCTAGAAAATGACCTTAAGCAAGCTACTGATCTGCATGTTTCTGACCAAACTGCTCATGGAGAGAATCAGAACCAGCACCACAAAGCTTGACTGACGATCGGGACCCTAACCCTAACAGAAGAATGGTAGGTCTTCCACTGTGACTCTGTTCATTTCAAAGATGAGAACAGGTTCACACTGAGCACATGTGACAGGTAAAAAAAGAGTCTGGAGATATCAGCAACATCATCTTGCATGACTGGTTTGGCAGTGGGTCAGTAATGGTCTGGCAAGGAATATCCTTGGAGGGTCAAACTTCTGCTAGGTACAAGAATGAAATCCTCAGAATCATTGTCAGAACTTCTGGGCCCCATGTTCCTCCTGGCACAGCGTCATGTGACCAGGGTGTGCAGGCAATCCCTGGATCACGCAAATATTTTTGAATCCAAATGAGAACCTCTGGGGCATTGTGTAAATAGTGCCACAGACTGTCCAGCAGCTCACTGATGCCCCAGGCAGGCACATGGGGTAATACACTCAGTAGAGTGTGTCTCATGTCAAGCTGCATTATCTTGTGGTTTAAAATTTTAACTTTGATTGAATCCAGCCAGAATACATTATTTTGGCCTCCACTGACTTTTGTTACACCAGTTTATGTGATTTTCCTCTGTTTTGGGGGGCCAGTGGACGTATATGAATTGTCAGCAACAGAAGAAGAACTAGTTAAGAACTTAATTAGTCCCGGGAGTGGTATTATTTGATATAGATACTCTCTAGGGTGCAACCAGGAAGCCACTAATCAACTGTGGAACTTTATCCAAATGAACTCATATCTGGGAAAACCACAGGACAATTGAATACCCAGCCAATAACCACTTTAATTCAGTATTTGGTCTGCAGCACAATTAAACATTTTGCTAGCACAAGTGTAAGTTACTCACTTATGACGTATCGTAGCTTATTTTTAAGCTCATCAAAATGCACAGAGATATAAAGTAGAAGTCCTTCCTGGAGAGAGGAAAAAGAAAATCACTCCAGCAGGCAGATAAGCTCTCTTTGAACGAAACCCTAAAAATCTCTTTCCTAAAGAGGAGTGGCACAAGCCAGCTCTCCAAGGCAACTCATTTGTTATTGGTACAACAGAGTGTAGGATCACAGGGCTAGGTGCAGTAATAGAGCTCAAGTTAGTGACTAAGATCATTCAGCAGGAGTCTTTCAGAACTATGCCCACCCAAAATGAATTGCACACAGTCAGAGTGACAATCTGCTGATTATGAATGGATAGAAGCTTTTGTCACTGATTGAGACGAGTAGGCAAGACAAAGGTTAGTCCAAACGTGTCGTTTAAAACTGCAGCACCAACGTTCGTTTGCTCCTACAACTGTCCTGTCCACAACATTCTGTTTCAAGTGTGTGACCTCCTTGTAGGGCTCCAGCAGTACAACAACAAAGATCTCAGCAAAATAACTGCAGCTGCCAGCGTTTGTCCCTCTGTATAAGTGCCCAAGAGGCTCCGTGTATCTGACACACTCTCGCAAACACTCACACAGGCAGTGCCACTGAGACACACATACCAGCTGACCATGAAAAAGCATGAAACTGAGTGGGTGGCCTGGCACTGCTCAGGCCAAACTGACAAGACAAGCTACATTACCCTGATGTATTGTCCACTAATGGTGCAACATCTGCTCAATTTGACAGATAACGGAGGAATCCAAACCTATGTCGTGTTTTTTTCAGTAAGCGCTCACTAGTAAATGATTAGAAGCAAAGCCAGGTGAGGCTACACAGGAATGCAGTACCCTGTCTGTGAGTCTCCCTCTACTCACATCAGTGTCAACAGTATACACACACACACACACACAAATCACAGCATGTAGATCGAACGCCAATGACAGGTGAGTCCTTGTCTAGCTTATTTAAACAATGGATGAGAGAGCTAGTTTAGACAGCAGCGTTAGATATTGATGTATAGCAATCTCAGCACGACAATAGCTAGAAGCCATCTGAGTTTCTCAGGGCTGAGATGCTGTTTATCATGTTTACACTGACTTATCTTTTCACCACTTGCACTAACAAAACATTAGTGAGCCACAAAGAAAAAGAATGACAGCTAGTAGGATTGTTGACAGAGTGACTTTGACATGTATTGCTTATCTCTTCTATTTTTAATATGTTGTTGTCTTTTCCTTTTTTTTCCTTTTTTTTTTGCACAGCAAAAGATAAAAAAAAAAATTATATAATTTCTGAGTACATCTCAAGACTTCTTTAGAAGGAGGCTACTTGGACAAATACAATACACTATAATACTGACATGTTCCTGAACCATTGCAATGAGAAATGTACTTAATGGGACATATTACGGTTGAAGTTGGTCTACTATGGGACTGCACTGGGACCTACACCAAATGCCTTCCACTTGCATCTGTGGAAAGCACAAGGTGGAAAGAGCGCACCTCCCTTCCTTTTCATGCGCATACATGGAAAGTTGTGGAGGTGTGGAGAATAAGACTGCAGCATAGTACAAAACAGGAACAAGAGACAACAGACACTGATAAAGTTTTTTAAAAAAGGAGCTGAGGTGGAGGTGGGTTGTAGCTGGACTTCTCTGAGAAGTCAGAAATTAATCAAGCATAATATTCAACTACTAAAAACAAATATTATTTGTTATTCTGCATTTTAATCAAAAACTAATAGTCCATCCTTGCATTCTCTTCCACTTATCCTTATCAGGGTCGTGGGGGAGGGATGGAGCCTATCCCAGCTTTTATAGGGCGAGAGGCAGGGTGCACCCTGGACAGGTTGCCAGTGTGCTGCCAGTGTGCTACAAAGAGAGGCCGACCATTTGTGCTCATATTCACACATATGGGAAATTTAGAATTACCAATAAACTCAACCCCACTAACTGCATGTCTTTGGACCGTGGGAGGAAGTCAGAGTACCTGGCCCACAGAGACATAAGAGAACATGCAAACTCCACACAGGTGGAGTGGAACTCAGGCAACAGTGATAACCTCCAAGGTGCTCCAAACAATGTGCTTTACTATTTTTTCTTGGATAACAACAACTTACATACATATTTACAACAACATAGTGAATTAACCACTAGAAAATAATGAAAATATATTTTGCTGATTACTAGTACTGTTAAGCTGGGGCATAAACCTTATTTTTAGTAATGGTTAATTACCTTTATTTATTTATATAGAAAAAGAAGTGGTCTGCCATGTTTTTTCACCCTGGTCTAAGTATATTTAAAAAAAATAATTCTCAAGCTTTTTACCCAAAATAAACACTGTGCAGAGCGTAACCCCAGCGGCCTTTCGCCAATTACTACACTATTACAAGCGAGTGGCCTGGTAACCTTTGTTTCCTTATGTCCTAAACAAAGTGGCCAATATCCTTAGAACACTGGGAATGTCTGTAATGGAGCCAGTGGAACAAGGAAAGGCTCTCACAGAGCAGATAAGCTGGATTTACCTCCTCAGAGTCCCAAAGAAATCTCTTTGGGACTCTGAGTTTAGAGGTCACGATGAAAGGTTAGGAGGACATGGGACACAGTTTCCATATCTCTGGAAAAGATTGCAGACTATGATTAAGAGGGAGACAAAGAGCAACAATACACAGAAGACGGTTCACAATAGCTCTTATTTAAGAGCAGTTTCAATTCCAGATGTTTTGCAGGGATTCATTTTACATGTCTGAGACAAAGGGAATTGGAAATTCCTTAACCATCAGCAAACAGTCACACAACAGGATACAAAGCATAATGGGGGCATCTGTACCACCAGCGTCTCGCCATTTACAGAAGTGGAGGGGGAAGGAAGGCACAGGCTTGGGTGAATTGTCTGGACAGCCAACAGGACAGAGACACTCAGCAAAGTATTCAGGATTCAGCACAGGAAACAGAATTTCCTTCCCAAGGCAGATTTACTCAGATCTATATATGGCGCTAGTCTGACTACACTAGTCTTACGACCACGGTCATACTGGGGAGAATGCAAATGTGTCCAGGCACCTTTGAGATAAGGCAATATAATTAAGAAAGCACCAAATAATCTCAACTTTCTTTTCAACAGCTACATTAAAAGAAAATTGACCTCTATGTGAAAACAAAAGCAAGGAAGTTTATGGAACCAGAGTACTTGGGACTGTTCTTGACTCATTCACGCTCAAAATGTTAACACACACAAATGGAAATATATTTTCTCATCCTGTACTGTGAACAGAACACTGATTTGCTTTGTCTTTTATGACTTTTAGATATTTTTTCTCACACAAATCTTTCTGCCATTCTCATTATAAGAGCAGCTCAGCGTGCTGCAGAAGGCTGGAGTACAACTTAGGCTGAAACAAGCGGCAAACTGTGTTTATGGGGTAAAAATGCATTCCCTTTAACTATGTCTCAATCAGTCAACACTAAACAAATACTGAAGGTTGAGTCAAAAAGTGATTCAACAGTCAGTTAAGCCTTGCTAGACTAATCTGCCGCTATCACATGATGTCAACACCACACACATTAATGCTAGCCGTGTCAAAATATCCTCTGGCACCTTTAACTGGCCTAGATTCTGTGAGGCCAGGCAGAATTGCTATTTCTGTGAGTGAACCACATGATGCTCTTATGCTAGCTTGCTACCAAAACAATTATTGTGCCCTGATGTAATTAGCTCCACGAATTGTTGCAAAACATAATCTATTATGTGTCAGAGTCTTTTGGAAATGACCTTTTAGTTCACTGGCTCTTCATATGGAATCTACTTTTGAATCTATGGTATTACTGAATACAATTTAATGTTCTTTTCATAAATTCTGGTCCTCATTACAGTCAAACAGGATGATAAGTTATGGTATGCTTTAGGGCCACAGCCATACTACTAACCCAGATCAAAATGGCTGAAGTTATGGCAGCAAATTTCTATCTTTTACATATAGTGTATGTAGATCTACATGACACTCAATTAGACTTCAGCTAATTGAGTGTCATGTGAGAACTAAAATTAAAAGAACTTTAACCTATTAGCTCCCTTGTACCTGTGATTTCCGATTGCATGCAATTTCCTGGTGGATTCAGGGAGTGTCATGTTTGCAGATGCAGACAAGCAGTCAGCAGTCATTACTAAATGAGAGTACTTACTTAGAGTAATCTAAAGTGAGAAATGGCAACTTTGGGCAATGCTTGGACTTAACTCATTGCTGTCACAAAATAGAGTGTTAACACTATAATTATGGGAAATAAAATTAAAGCACATATAGGATGCCATCGATCAGTGAAGTTTCATGGTGAACTATAAATCAAAACCTGAGCAATGGATATCTACGATGCGATTCCAGTTATCCTTTGACGTCGAGCATTAATTTAGCTACAACATCACAGCTCAGCAGTTAAATATAGTATGCTACTAGGTAATACTCTTAAGGCATCCTTTGTGGCTAACCCTGAGTAGCATGCACACATGTTCAGTGAAAAGGTCAGGTAACAGTAATTCTTACTTATTTTGCTGTCTGCAATGAAAAGCAACCCATGGATTGTAAAAACTATAAAACACGGACCAAGAACAGCGGCACACGTAAACTTTAGGTATGATTAAAGAGTCAGACCATCATGCAAAGTTTATTATGGTTCCTGCATTATTATTTTCTGAAACTATGTGCGGTGATATAGTGTTTTCCTTGAACAGAATACAAGTCTGAATAAAAATAATGGGGTAGAGGTGCTTTCCCGCAGTTTTTATTGTTCATTGGGCGTTTATTTATCTTATTGTGCTGTCACCTTCGCCAATGGTTAAAAGGATGAAAGAGGAGATGTTTATGTCTCACAGATAAAGCCAAGGCCCTGTGTTATGACCAGAGTCTGGCAAGCTGGCGAGGAGGGAGGAGAGGGTGTAGCAGGATGTGGAGGTATCATCACTCAGGCACCGACAGACATTATGCACAAGTGTGCATGCACAAATGCACGCAATGACACACGCGCGAGCACACTGTGCTACTGGTGCACGTCAGAGTCGCAGATGGGGGAGCTTTAGAGGGCTGAGTGATCCACTGCATGTAAACAAAATCTGTCAGAGTGGATTGTTAGATCCACAAGATTGTCTCTTCACTTACTTGTGCTATCAGGCCACGGTGTGCTTCCATATTCCTCTCCACTGGGCTGGTCTTTGGAATGAGAGAAACAGAAGTATAGGTCAATGTGCCAATTTCAGGTGAGGAAAACATGCTTTATTCAATTATATTTAAAGTAGTGCACCAAATCTCCTGGAGATCTATATTCCCCTTAAACAGTCGGAATCTCGCAAGTCACTATAAGACGAATCTCTGAACAAATATTTACCGATTTTCTGTTTTGGCGTGGGTTAGCAATCTTAAGAATTTATATTGAAAGCATAAGTGGTGTGAATTAAGAGCAGCTGTTGCTTTGTGGTTATGCAGCTTTTACCAAACCCACCTCCTGACGCTTCATCAGCTGCAAAGTCCTCATCATCATCCAGTAAACTCTGAGATCCCTGGACAGTTTTTTCTGCCTCCAAATCTTCTGGCAGAGGAACCTCTCCCCATACCTTGGAGGCCTGTGTCACCTGCAGTAAACACAGAGTGATTAATAAGGGTTAAAGTCTCTTGGGAAAAGGGTTACACCCAGTGCTATACATGAGCTCTGGAATTGTGCAGAGAAAACAAAAGCTGGAATGGGAAATGGGGCATTGTGATCTGTTTACTTTAATCTTTTATTATCTCTTTTAACAGCATGCAAATAAAAGTTCACGACATCTAAGTTCTATTTTTTTCAGTCCACTCGCTTAAATTCAAAACATGGCATTTATGTTTTTTCCTCATGTAAATGTTAATGCGATGAAATTCACAGCTGACTCCAAATCCAATGACAAGCACAGGAATACCTGCGTAAGTACACAGGCACACACACAAATAAAACTTATTTCCGAAAGCCAGAAAAAACAGCTGAAGTTCAGATCAGAATGACACTAATCTGTTAAAGTATCCTTTACACTCTGTTCTCCAGGCTAAAAATATATGCCACATACCACAACTAGTCCTTCAAAACTGACTCTGTACCCTGGAATCAGGAAATGGTCAATCAATAAACCATCATGTGCCCTCTAGCACCTCTAACCAAAACCTTTCTTTTTGATAAAGTGTTTGGTAATGGCTGGATCAGGTGACCCTGAATCCTTCCTTACTTATTCTGCGATAGGTCTAAGCTGCTGAGGGCTTCCCATGATGCACATGAGTACTTTTTCTTTGCCATCTCCCGGTCGCAGCAGATGGCCACATCTCCCTGAGCTTGATTACGCCGGAGGTTTGTTCCCGTTAAATGGGAGTTTTTCCTTTCAACTGTTGCCAAAGTGCTTGCTTATAGGGAGTCATCTGAATGTTGTCCTTTTTCTGTTTTATTGTAGGCTCTTTACCTTACAATGTAAGGTGCCTTGAGGCAACTATTGTTGTGATTTGGCTATATAAATAAAATGGAATTGAATTGAAACATCAAAAAGTCATAAAATGTCAGCTCAAAAAGGAAAAGTGGCTTTTTATCCTGTTTACCACAATTTGCCATGTTAGTGAGGTATGTTAGGATAAATGTATTGCTTCACACTGTGCCTGTTCTCCTGCTGTATTGCTCATAATCTAAAGATTTATTAAATATGGAACTTGATAAAGTGTTAGTACATTCACCTCAAGGGAGATTTGAATACCCAGTCCACATCAGAATAATTCCACGTGACCTTTTCCTCAATTATTAAACTACAGACTACCAGCCTCAGGAAGTGCAAATTCTTTTGCAATATTCTCTTTATTGCATGACAACACATAGAAAATCAAATAAGCATGTAGCCAGAATAACGTCCTCCTGCAGGACACGTGACAGACACATCAGACACCTCACTGAGAAGACACAAAGCTTTTCCAGCCATTCCCATATCCTGATCATCTTGATAAAGTTTACTATGGCGGCCTGACTGGAGCACAGTGTGGGTTTATTATCTCTGCTCTCAGCATCTCAGCATGCAGACTGCCCAGACGCTGGCTATAAGTTTAGATACGACTCTGGCAGGATGCCACCTCTGGCATTTCCAGTAGGCATGGCACGCCAGTTCCTATTTCCACCCAACTCTGTCATGGTAGTTTTCCCATTTGAATGGATCCAGCTAATAAATAACTAGATCTAACCCCCCTAAATCCTCTCTCCCCTGACTGAACACCCTTACAACAACAATCCCGGGCCATTTTCAAAAGCAAACTGCTGACTAACCAAATTCTTTTCAGTGATGCCGACCAGCCAACCATTGGTGTGATCATCTCCCGCTTCCCACTCCCTTGGGATGGTGTATGATCTGGACATGCTGGATGCCATTTGGGTGAAAAAAAAAAAAAACCCTGAACAAACTTACAGATGGCTGCATATTCACACCTGATCTAAAGCTAACATGCTGAGCAACACTTGTTTGAGAATGTCAGCCGACCTCATCTTAGACAGAGCTGAGAACTCCATGTGAATGCGCCCTCTCACTCCATTCTAGTTCAAAAGCTAATCTGACCTTTAGTCTGAGTCTTGAGGTTGAGACATGTCTGTGGTGTTAGAGTTATCTCTCCCTGGAGATAAAGCTCTTGACGGACTGTAACTCTTCAAACCCCACCCAGAGGACAAACACCTCAGAAGCTCTCCTGACTCTAGTACCTTGCTGTGTAAACACATTGCTCTATTAATTTGTTTCAATTTTCAATAAGACATGGTAATCAGGTTAGGCTTTAAAAAAAAGAAAAAAGTAGGCGTCGACATAAACGCACAGGAAGTGGCCTAGATACACACAAAAACACACATGGACACCTTTCACATATAATATTTACTTATAAACTACTTAAAAATATGCAGCATTGACCTTGCAAAACCAAATGGTAGTAGCTGTACAAAAGGAAATGATGGAATCCATGAATAATGAGTGGCAGGTGACATGGGACAATAAAGACCTTCAGCTGTTTAGCATGAACAACTGATGATGACGGCAATGAGTGAGAAGCAAAACCTTTTGGAAAACGATTGATCGCACTACACAAAAAGTGAGCCAAGAACCTTTCAAGACTGAAATACTGTCAGCTGTCGTTGAGTCTTGCAGCTGGAGGCCTGCTATCACCTCTGGTTCTCAACAAGTAATGCCTCCCTAATGCTAATATTTGCACTACAAGCCCTTTTATTCATCATTCAAGCATTTCATCACAATTTTTGGTTTTTTGCATTTTTTTTTTTTTGCATTTTCATCATTCTGTGCTGATGAGTTTCACATTAACGTTCCCATATTAACCTCCTCGTCTGCCCTTTGATGAAAACTGATTGTCACTTAGTGGTATTGTGCTGCCTGCATGCCAAATTATAACAAGCGTGAAACTGTGGAAGGCAAAACAGCACTGCAAACTGATTCTAATGCAGATAAGTAAAAAACTCACAAACACTGGCATTTGGTACCACGTGCAAACAAACACGGTCAAATACAGCCTTGCATGAACAGACACACACTATCATACACCCACACGTCAGCATTCCCGTCCTGGTTACATCTCAGTGATATCCAAAGCCTGTCAGAGGAAGCGTGAGAAGATTTCTTCAGGGATTCAGTTCGCCCACTCTGTTAATAAACCCACTGATGCAGCTGCAGGACAATCTGTAGGAAATGTCTTAAAGGCACAGCCAGTGTTTTACAGTAAAAAAAAGAGAAAGAAATTGGATTTGCTCATGACAGACACGAGTCTCCCGCAAGTGATGCTCTCTCATTAAAATGTTTATTGATAGCAGCTGACACTGTTTGTTGATAGCAGCAGCACAGGTTTAGCATTTAAATCACCTCTTGAGCTCACACAACCTATCAGCCTTTGTTCCCATGAGAGCTTGGGATATGCAAAAACAGAGAAATGAAAGCTGGAAAAAAGGCAGCATTGCTCATTCCAATCAATTTGATCCAAACGCCAAGTTGTGACCTTTTATGCAAGCAGAAAACCTTCACAAGATGAATTCTCAGCCTACTTGACCCTCCATCTCCCTTTACCCACCACCCCTTCTCTTCCTTTTACCCTCTCTAATATCTGCTTGGGCTTGAAGTAGCAGCATGTACTAAGCAGGAATGGAATGTAAACCGTAGAAAGCTTCAAGTAGATGAAAGCTTGACACATACTGACTTCTTTTAGATAGGGTAGGTTGAAAAAGGGCCAACCAAGCACAACCGGGCACCAATGCAGGCTGAGTCGTTGAACTCCCTTTAGTTGACCCATTGTTATCTGAGGAATAGGTGTTGTGAACAAGCAGGCCTACGCTAGATCAGGTCTACTACAGCAGGTAAAAATATGTTGTATGTGCATACAAACAACATGAAAAAAGCTACTGAGAGAATAAAAGAAAATACATGATTCTCATGCTACAGTTAAAAAATATTAAGATGCTAAATCTACTCATCTCAAAACATAGATATGAGGGAGGTTTTACAACATGCTTGGCTGAGTGTTGTGAAAGAGTGATGAAAGGAAAAGAGGAAAAGAGATAAGCCCAAGAGCACTGTTCCTTTGCACACCTTTGACTACAAATCTGTGTTACTAGTGCAGGATTTTTATGTTTGTATGATACAAATTTCTACATTTAACCTGCGTAGGAGTGGTCTGTGATTTG